TGGCATCATGCTCTCCTTCACACTAACCCTCATTTGCTCCCACACATGTCAGGAACTGTGTTCACACATAGGTACCTGTAGTGATATCAGTGCTTAGATATACCCCGGTATGAAACTGTTTAACATAAAGGTTATCTCTGTGCATCAGTTACCTCAGTCTGTAAGTTTGTCTTGGTGTGTTTGTGCTCCCTCTTTAGTGAGTGCATACAGGTGTTTGAGTATATGTACCGAGGGAGGGTTTATCTTCTCAGACAAAAAAAAAGTGTACACATCTGTGAAGGAACTTCGTCTGATTTTCAGTGATTCTCAAAATGAACTGTTAAGTGTATAAGAACAAGAGATAGTCGCAAAAGACTACTATATATTGTATGATTTCATTTATATGAAATGTCCAGAATAGGCAAATTAAAACCATAATGAGGTACATTTTCCATCTTCTAGTGTGGCTAAAATAAAAAAAGACTGACAACACTAAAAATTGGTGACATTAAAAATGTGGAGAAAAACAACAACCCTGCTCAGTGGGTTGGAGTGTCGTCTCGTACACGAATAGGTTTCAGGTTTAATTCCCAGGCAGGGCACATGCCTAGGCTGGGATTCGATCCCAGGTCAGGGTGAGTATGGTTGACAACCAATTGATGTTCCTCTGTCACACTGATGTGATAAACACAAACACACACACACACCCAAAAAAACAACACACCACAGAGAAATCTCAAAAACAATGTTACATGAAAGAAGCCAGATACAAGAAAGCACATACTACTGTACGATTCCATTTTTGTGAAGTCTATGACTAGGCAAAAATAAATCTATTGCGTTAGAAATGTGGAATCAAAGTGGTTGTCTTTGGAGAAGGGTGGGTGAAGGAAATGGCTGGAAAGGGACATGAGGGAACTTTCCATGGCGATAGAAATGTTTTCTCATTTGTCTTGGTAGAAGTTACATTGTATAAAATTATCAGAACTCCTTGAACTAGACACTCAGGATATGCTCATACTGCCTGCCTGGTGTGGCTCAGTGACTGAGCATCGACCTATCACAGTTCATTCCGAGTCAAGACAAAAGCCCGGGTTGCCCAGGCAGTCAGCCAATGATTATCTCTCATCACTGATGTTTCTATCTCTCCCCCACTTCCTTCCTCTCTTAAATCAATAAAAATATATTAGAACAAAGATATGTACATCTTACTGAATGTTAATTATACCTCATAAAACATACAAAACAGGAATCTGCTTCAAGGCATAGGTTAAGGATGTTTCAAATGAAATCGACATTACTGCACATACATTTTCAATTTTGTGCAACTCTGGATTATTCACATCTCTATTTGTTCATTATTATAAACAATCCAATGGATTACAGACATGTATGGGTAGACAGATGTAAGTATATGTGTTCATGTTAATTTTTCATAAGCAGCAAATCAAGTTTGATTTTTTAGGATTTCAATATGTGTACTAAATGGACTGTTACAAGTCGAGTAGAATTTTCTGTTTTTCTAGATCTTTTTCCTTTCACTACAATGCTATAGTTGTGATTTTAGAGGCTTGCGAGAAATTTGAATGAGAACAAGGCATCTATATCAAATGTCAGCAAGAAAGGTTGATGACAGAAAGCAAATAGTGCTTTAGCCACTGTAACAGTCTAGAGCCGTGGTCGACAAACTGAGGCTCACGGCTCTTTGGCCCCTTGAGTGTGGCTCTTCCACAAAATACCGCGGCCTGGACAAGTCTATTTTGAAGAAGTGGCATTAGAAGAAGTTTAAGTTAAAAAAATTTGGCTCTCAAAAGGAATTTCAATCGTTGTACTGTTATTTGGCTCTATTGACTAATGAGTTTGCTGACCACTGGCCTAGAGAATAATGCCTTCTTCAACTATTTTAATTAACAGCCTAAAATTTTTAAATTTAAGGGGAACTGAAAAGAATGAAGATTGCCAGCTAACTAGATCTCTAAAAACTGATAATACAATCTAAATAGCAAGAGCGCTGTACATCAGACTGACTCCTGAAAACCTACCGAGATCTTTCCTCCTATTTTACTGGGTCCTCCTCTGTCTTCCTTTCTTTTCATCTTTCCCCTCCCTCTATCCAGGGATATTGTTATCCCCACCACCTCTCACTCTTCCTATTTTACTCAGATCTAATCAATTGTCATATATACCAAGCTTATCTCAGGTTCCAAGTAAATAAATTTACAAAATTATACTGTGTTCTATTGTAGATATGGCATATAAACCCACACAGTATACAGGGTATAGCCTGGGAAGGCAGAGATGACCCGTGAGTGGAAAAAAGATGACTTCATTTCTTTCCCATCCCCACAACTGTAAAAGCTCTCTCCCTCTGAACTCCTACCGCATGTTTTTATTCCCCACAGATGGCTCTTACAGCGCTCTGAACTATGAACAAGCACAAATGCCTCATCTCAAAGAGAGTAGTTCCCAGACAAAAAAAACACCCGTGTCTTAATGTCTGTATTCGCCATGAGCCTAAGATGGTGCTTTGTACAAGATGGGAAAAGACATATGTTGAACCAGTGAATGACTGAATTAATGTGAATGAAAACAGTTAAAGGAGAAAGAGGATGAGAGAGGAGAAAACACTGAGGATTCTGCACAGAGAAAGGAGAAGGGAAGGAGAGAGAGTAGAAACTAAACATGTTTTTTTTTTTTTTAAAGTGAATAGGATTATTTTAAAAAACTGAGAGTTGGAAAAAGCAATTACTATGCATCTAATATCACAGCTCTCAGCTCCTATCTTTACTTAAGAAAAAAAATGTTCTTATTGATTTTTAGAGTGAGAAGGGAGAAGTGAGGGATAGAGAGGAAGAAACATCAATGAGAAAGTAACTTCATCGATGGGTCCCTACTGCACACCCCCTACTGGGAATGGAGTGGACAACCCCAACATGTAACCTGAGGGGATCGAATCAGCAACTTCTTCGTTCTTGGGTAAACTATCAAACGCTGAGCACTGTCCTTAAACTGTCACTATGAACACCTTAAAATATCTCCCAGCCTTTGATGTTCAGTGTGGTCTGACATGCAAGTTCTTCAAACTAGAAGATCCTGGATGATTTATGCATGTTAATGTTTGAGAAGCACCACCCTACACCATGCAAGTCCTTTATGTCGTAGGGAACCTGTGTTTTGAGACTAGAAAAGTCTGATTAGAGTTTTACCAGAGTAAAACTCCAATCACTGTAATGGAGTTTGACTTTATGTCTTAACTTTAGGTGAAGCTAATTACAGAATTATAGTGCCTGAAGGGTTTATGACAAAATTTTGGAATTAGTCATAAAAATATGATTAAAGGAAATTGAGCAGGTTAAGTAACAGCCTCCAGAACTCATTTTTGTGCATTCGTGCCTAGCACACAGTTTGGAATGACACCTGTGGCCCATGTTTCCTGAATAAATAAAATCATGAATTTTTAAAAATCAGACATGTTTAGGGCTGGAATAATCTTAGGGTCATCTGGTCCAACAACCTCATTTTAAAGATGAGCAAGCTGGAAGTCCTGAGAGGTTCGAAAGTAAAAGTAAGCACGCTGAGCTCTGGCCCGTTGGCTAAGTGGATAGAGCGTCAACCTGTAGACTAAAGGGTCTCGAGTTTGATTCCGGTCAAAGGCACATGCCTGGGTCGCAGGTTCGATCCCCACTAGGGGGCGTGCAGGAGGCTGCTGATCCATGATAATCTCTCATCAATGATGTTTCACTCTTCCTCTCCCTTCCTCTCTGAAATCAATAGAACATATTAAAAAAAAAAAAAAAAGTAAGCAAGCTGAGAATTAGAACATACTGGATCTGACATTTTCATTCCCTTTTTTTCCTTTCATAGGAATGTGTTAGAAAGGAGATTCTAAGTATTTATAATAAAATTAGGGGCTCTTAAAGAAGTGACAGGGTAAAAAAGGTGCCTAGGACTAGGAAAAAGAGACTAGCACAAGTAAATCAGGCTGGACAAAACCATTTTTCTGAGCTTATTACTTTTTGACCGACCAATTAATTAATCAATTTAATTTGCCAAAAAAAAAATCATCTAAAGGATTCTCAGAAAAAGAAACATGAGCTGCATGAACATGTTACAAGCCGAGAGAGACGGCACATAACTAATTTAAATCTCACGGGCTTATTTCCTGTTCAAGCATGACCTCCTGCGATAAGCTTTACTGCAGTGTTCATTACCGGATGACTTTTGGTTTGAAGAGAAGCCAAGGGCAAGCTGGAAAAGCGATTCTTAACTAAACATAAAACAAAACAAACAAAATAAAAAGCAAAAACCTGCGACTGTTTCTCGTCTGTTTGTAATCAGAACGCAGGCCTGCGAAGGAAACAGACCAACCTCCGTAGGCAAAAAGCACAACGTCCTCAAAAGAAACCAACACATAAGCGACTTCACAGCCGGATCCAGCTGTGTGTGCTACAGGGGAGCCAGGAACTTACTCTAAGAGCAAGAGATCAAACCGGCGAGTGCAAGACAAGCCAGATTTTAATTTTTAAAAAGGGTGTGCCCTAAGGTGGTTTCTTCCCCCCCCCCCCGCTCCGCCCCCCCAACAACTTTCAACAAGCAGAAGCCTTTGAAGGAGTACTGGTGAGAAACCCTTTTAAGATGATCGTCCCCCGAGCTTCGCCTGGGTGGGGCGGAGGGGGCGGGCGGCCGGGCGGGCGCCGCGGGCAGCGGCAGGAGGGGAGGGAGGGGAGGGGGCCGGTCCCGAACCCGGGGAGGCCGGGCCCCCCAAGTGATTCATCAGCTCAAGGTTCGCGCGCCTCCATCGCAGGCGCCACCCAGCGCGCCCCAGGGCCCCCACCCGGGCCCGGTCACCCCAAAGCAGCCCTCAGCGCCCCCTGCTCCCGGAGACGGGACCCGTGGGGGAGAAGACCCAGGCCGGCGGCTGGAGGAGCAGCAGCCTCTCCCTCCCTCCTCAGCCACCATGGCCGGTGCGACTCCCTCCCTGCCCGCGCCCGCGGACGGACTTCCTGGAAAGCTGGACTCACCTGGCTGGCGCCTGCTGGGGCCACCGACTCCTTCACAGACACGCGAGGACTGCCGCAGCCCGGTCCCCAGCACCCGCCCGTCTGCCTGTGTCTGCCTCCCAGGGAGTTGCCGGATCCGCCCGCCGGGAGCACCCCCACCTCGACCGCGCTGTCTGTGAGGCTGGTTCCCCCTCCGTCACCCATGCGCCTGCGCACTCTCAGGTCGCAGGGCACCTTGGGAGTTGTAGTTCTAGCGTACGGGGAGCAGCGCAGAACCCGGGCTTGACAATCATCTGCAAGACATGGGAAGCAGCTGCAGATACCAAGCCTACCTCCAGCTTGGAACGACGCTCCCTACTCGTGGAAATATTTAACCTCCACGCTCTGGAGCTATGAGCAGCAGCGAGAGGCTCATTGGTATAGATTTCCTATTTGCTTTGACTTTTATTAAAGAGCACGCCTGGCACGGCTTGTATTGTGTGTACTACCCTTGGAGTAGTTGATGCGGGACAGGACATCGAGTCCTTTGAACTTGTTATGATAAGTTGATAGGTAAGCAAACAAAAGCTGCGGCACAAGAGGGTTATAAATCAAGAGGATGTCATCCCAAGGGCGTAGTGACCCTAGTGATTTCTTTAGGCCTGCAATCAGGGATGATGTCACAGAGATAGCTGTTTTGGGGCCCCATTCCTTCCTCCCATTTCTGCTTCCAGCTCTACACTGAGAGGTGGAGCTGGGCTTACGTGGGAGAGCGCTGATCAAAGGAGGGGACTGGGACAGATGGGTAGTCTGGGGGGCAGAACGAAGAGAGTGGGAATATTTCAGAGGACAGTGGATGGCTGTCTTTTGTGCTTGGCTCTGAGGAGAGGGAACAGCGACGGCTTTCCATTTATTCATTTAGTCAATGTTGGGAGTTATTTCTGGCCTGCCCTTCAGGAGTAAACCATTCCTAGGAGTAATGCTCAGCTTTGATACACATCTTTAAAAAATGTAGCCATGAAGAGGACTGAAATGCCTCGGTGAGGTACATTCCAGCTACACCCAGTGCGGGGAACCGACTAGTGGCTAAACCTCTTCTGGCATCTACTTCTTCCACTCAGAGCAGGGAGTAACCTAGGTAAACACCTTGGAATTTCATGCAACTGGTACCCACTAATCCCAGCAATAAAGATAACTGATGATTTGGCATTTTTAAGAAAAACCCCCTCCTAAAATTGCAAATACTCTTAGAAGGCCATCAACAATAAATTGTGTGGCTATTGCATCTTACTATCAAGTGCATCTTAATGTGAATCACTCTCAAATATTCTTGGAGATGAGTTTCTGAGAGTAACTTCCTACAGAGTTCAGGTTCAACAAATATTTATTGAGTACTTAAACCACATCAGGCAGTGTGCCAGCACTTCACTTATAATATTTATCTAAATCCTCCAAATAATCCTTAAAAAAGTGTTAGTATCTTCTTTCCACATCTACAGACGAGAAAACAATTTAAGTAATTTGCCAGACAATTTAAGTAATTTGCACAAGGCCACACGGTCAGTAATTGGAGATCTAGAAATAAAGCACAGGTATTCTGACTCACATACGAGCATGCTTTCCACTGTTAATTAGATCCACGGGTCTCCTAAGCCTCATCAAATTCTTTAATGTAAAATAATCTGTGACAATGTCTGAATTACATGGAAAAAATTTCTCTACCACAGTCCAAGGAAATGGTACTCTGGATGGAATTATATCTGGGTTCATTTGATAGCTCTGTTTTTCATTAGAAGTTAATATATAGGTATTTTTACTTACCAGTAAGTTTCCCATGAATTCCTGCTACCCCATCAGATATGATTTATTTTAAGACTTTCCTCTGCAATATGGCTCATTTTGCCTTGCTTTCTAGGCAGAAATGACTTTCTATTCATTGTCTGATTGAATTAATATACATAGTTCCTTCCTGACCTTCCAATATGGGGCTTAGGCACATATTAAATATATAGTTTCCTTTAGTTACTTATATTTAGTTTTTCCTAATGAATATTTGAATTTTATTTTAGTTCCTTTTTCTAAAATAATGTTTTTCGGCGCTTGATTTTTCTCCTTCCATCAGATAAATGTTATCATATTGTAATCACAAGGCTTACAAACATGATTCTCCTAAACCCATGTATATTCAATACCACATACGGGACCAGCGATGTTAAGAATAATGACTTATATTGCCCTAGCGGCCTAGCTGGTTTGGTTCAGTGGATATAGTGTATGCCTGCAGACTAAAGGGTCCTGGGTTCTATTCCAGTCATGGACACGAACCTATGTTGCTGGCTCCTCCCTGGCCCAAGCCTTCGTCAGGGCTCATGCAGGAGTCAACCCATCAATGTGTCTCTCTCACATCGATGTTTCTGTCTTTCCCTCTCTCTTCCACTCTCTCTAAAAATCAATGGAAAAATATCCTCAGAGGAGGATTAACAAAAACAAAACAAAACAAAATAAAACAAAACAAAACAAAAAGAATAACGAACGATAAGGTTGCATTTTGGTTCCCAATCAGGGCTCATGCGGGGGTTGCGGGCTCCATCCCCAGTAGAGGGCAGCTGATAAATGATTCTCATCATTGATGTTTCTTTCTCTCTCTCCTTCCCCCTTTCCCTCTCTGAAATCAATAAAAAAATATATATTTTAAAAAGAGAGAGCGAGAGGAAGAGAAAAATCAATGAGACAGAGAAACATCAGTTGGCTGTCTGTTGCACACCCACTTCTGGGGATTGAACCTGCAACCCTGGCATGTCCCCTGACTGGGAACCAAACCACCACCTCCGGGCTCATAGGTTGACAGCTCAACTACTGAGCCACACCAGCCAGGGCTAGAATGGTCTTTTTATTTTTTAATTTTTTAAATCTTTTTTTTAAATTAAATTATTATTTGTGTACATATCTTACCATTGTCCCCACCTCCCATACATGCCCTCCCTCCCCAGAGTTTTGTGTCCATTGGTTGTACTTATATGCATAGAATGGTCTTTTTAAAACAAATCAGATCATGTCACCCTCCTGCTCCAATCCACTCATGGCTTCCCATTATAATTTGAATAAAATCCTTGCATGACTATTTTATTTCCTAGCCCACTCTCTCACTCTGCATCAGCCACTCTGGCCTCCCTGAGGTTTCTCAAATCCTACCAAATGTATTCTGCCTCAAGGTTTTTGCACTACACTGGAGAATGCCTTTCTTCCCAAATACTCATGGCTCAAACCTTCATTTTAATATTTTGTTCACACGTCACTTTTAAGAGGCCTTCTCTGGTCACTTTACCCAGTCTTTCTCCCCTTTCCTTACTTCTTTGGCTTCATAGCACCTGTCACCACTTAACATCATCTTGCTTATGTGCTTAACATAAGCTCCAAAAGGACTATACCTACCATCTGCAACAGTGCCTGACATACAGTAGGTATTAAATAAATGTTTGCAAATAAATATTGAATCCTTTCCCCTGCCTCCTGTTCTCATTTTGGGAAACAAAACCAGAGAGTTTGCCAGTAAATGCCTGCCAGTGATCTGGTGCAGGATATAAACACCAGCTAGGAGAGCATTGGCTTCGCAGGATAAGACACAGTGGAACTCACCCTGAAATGGGGACAGACTTCTTTTTTGAAAGGACTGTACTTCATGGGTTGCCATTATTAGCTTATAGTTAAAACAACAACAACAACAACAACAACAACACAGTTCTTAAAGAGGAAAATAAAAGGAAAACCTGAACATTATATTTACATAAATAAGTGAAAAGGTAAATTAACTAAATTCTAGAGGCAAGGACGCCCCTCCCCATTGCCATATGACCTGCAGGCTTGGCTATGATCTGCTAATGGGGTTTTCCTTCTTTCTTTACACAAATGTTGCCCTATTGTAATCACAAAGCTTACAAACACAAATTTTGCTTCAGCCAAGGCCATGTGGGCGGAAGTGACTATATGACAGCTGTGAGTAGGCGCTTTTAAGGGTCATTGTGTTTCTTACGTGCTTACTCTCCCTTCACCAAGAGAATGTAATGAACCGCACAGAGGATGGTCCTTCCTGGGTCCCAGAATGAGAAGTCACGAGGATCAGAGCCCCCACCAAACACAGGTGCTGACATGTGAGCAAGAAGTAAACTGAGATTCAGGTTTGTTTTAACTATAGACTGATTGTTTTGACTATGGGCTAGTAAAAGCTGAATGCTGCATTGCCGATTCAGTGAGAGGTGATCCTAGAAAACGGAAGTGGTATGGCACCACCCCCCATGCATTTAATCCCACTCCTCCAAGTGATGGAAAAGTTTAAGTTCAACAACTAAAGAGAACAAATCTGAGACTGTTAGGTAAAATATTTGAGTAAGGGACAGAGTACAGCTCTGTTAGTTTTCAGGCTTGGGTTAGAATGAAAGTGATAAAACAACACTGGAATTCTACTGAATGTATTACAAGCCCTCATTAGTGTTATCTTTAAACTTGCAGCCTGAAGAACTCATAAAGCAATGTCACACTGAATCATCATATGCAAACTAGTGCCAGAAGCTACTTTCTTGTTATCAAAGGGTTCCTTTAGGAAATAGTTTCCTTGATACGTTTAAGTATTTTCTAAAAATGTATTTTATAGGAGAGTTGAGAATATTTCAGCTAAAGTTGAAACAAAGGCATAAGAATTTCATTCTGGAAGATTGGTGTTAATGAAAGCAGTGGGAGGTAGGAATCGGAAGATAAACACAGTGGCAGGGGCACAGAATTTCATACAAAAGAATTTGAGCAAACTCTGGCTTGAAATATCCTTTCCTGTCAACCCATCTGTGCCTATTAGAAGCCTCATGTTTCATTGTCCATCTCAAATGCCTGTTTCTCACTCAAACTTCCCTAATGCCATTAGATGAATTAATTTTGACATGCCTCATATTTTCATACCCTATTACACTTCCACTGGAGATGCATACATACTTCTGCCAAATACCAAAGGGCTGAGAATTTGAATTTTCAGCTGAAGCCAAGTTGCTGACAAATATCACTGTCAGATAACAAACTTCTAGAATACACAAATAAACCTAAAGAATTATGCCAAAATTTAGCCAACTTTTTAGCCACTGAGCCTAACAGGCTAGGGCCAAAAATTTAAATTTTATTATTTTAATATTCTTATTTTAAATGATAGTGCTAAAATGATAAAATTTAATATTGTATATTTACATTATATACAAGTATAGGAACAATAATTTCCCAACACTGTCAGCTGTTAGACTCTCTTACAATCACTAGAGAGATTCAAATTTCAACTGAGGTGAGTGGATGAAAAAGATAAATGTCCTAAATGGAATTAAATAAGAATTAAATTCTGGTTTTAAATTGTAAATGCTATGTACATTAAACATTTCCACAAAGAACAGAGTTATAATGTAATCCCTGTTTGTTTGTTTTTTTGTATTATTAAATTTTTGTATTTATTAACTAAAAAAAAAAAAAATAACTTTCTTCCTAAGTTATCTAGCTATTATATTCTCTATATTTGTAGTAGCTGCCAACCTATTTCCCTATTTATCTACTTGAACATTAACAATTTTTAATTATTTTGAATTGATTTTGAACATAAAATATATCTTTAACAATCTCCAATTGTTAAAAATATATTTTACTTATTTATGCATTTTACTTATCTAATATTTACTATGCATTTATATTTTGAATCTTGCTAAAACCCAAATACAGTGTGTTCAATTTGACCAAACTCTTATGATTTCCTATTACTTATTAAATGAATCTGTGCTGTTTCTTATGGATCACTGCTTCACTTCCTGGTGCTTATAAACCACTGAAGTGGGTATTACACCTTTCTAGGGTTTTGCTCAGGATTGATGGATTCACTGGTGTAGATTTAAAGACACTAACACATACACCTTTTGAGACATGCACCTTCCTGATTTTCCTACATCATCTCCCTTCTTAGGTTGGTTGAGTCTAAAGCATAGCCCAACCTCATTTAAGCATACATATCATACATCTAGTTCCTAATGTGGGACACTTGCTAGAGGTTGTGAGCATCTGCTCATGCTCCCTGAGTGGTAGGACGGGGAAGTGGGTTAGCAGCTGGGGCAGAGAAGGTGTGGGGCACCATTTCACGTAGCACAGAGAAAGGCTGAATGATTAAATTGAGAGGAGTGGTCCATAGCAGTGTCCAGTCTAATCTCGGCAAACCTATGGCAGGCTGCCAAATCCAAAGGAGGGCACCCAGAAAGCAGAGCAGGTACAAACACGTTGAGACATCAGGGAAGCAGCGAGGAGCAGAGCGTAATGAGAGGGTGGGTCGGGAGTAAGTCCCGAGTCAGCTATCTTGTTTATATTCAATTCTCGGAATGACAGGGGAGGGCCTGTCTGTCTGCCAGATGGAAACACAAAACTGAGTAAGATTCAGTCCTGCTTAAATTCCCAACATTGTCAGCATATAAAGGAAAAACTTTGTTGGCATTAAGATCCATGGATACTTATTTAGGTTAGTATTTAGGATAGAAAAACCTAAGTGCCTTTTGTACGCCAAGCACTGTTTGAAGTGTTTTATACATTCATCCTCATGATGGTACCACTGTTGAAATATGATCATGATTCCTGGTCTACAGGTGAAGAAACTGAGGCTAGGTAATTTGCAGAAATTCACACAACTAACAGAAGTGAGATTTGAACTAGGCAAGTATGACCTTAAAGTTCACACTTGTAACTCCTATTCATTATGGCCCCATCGATGGAAAGAGAGTCCTTTAAATAAAAACAATTACTACACTGCCTTGTCCAAGGTAAGGTATGAAACAGCAAGTAGAAACCAGAATGGGTTTTAAATGCTCCTTCTTGGACCTTGTCATCCGCTTAAGTGACAAAGAGTTCAGCAGAGTTCAGCAGAAGGGCAGGAAGAGTAGGTTTTCTTGTTTTTCCAGGGCAAAACTTGATTGGTAACTTTATGATTTTTATCCCAGCATATGTTTAAAACAGTAAGTCCTAAGTTAATATAAAAAATTCAAGGTGAAACAGTTAACCCATTTGGGTTGTCTGTATTCTTATTCCCATTTATACTAATAAATTTTAACTGTTTAGTTGAATATGTGCATTTCTGTTATAATGAGTTCTCCTTCCTCCCTCTGGCTACTTCTGGCTACTTCTTATCTTCATAATAAGGGCACTTTATAGTTCTTTCTGAAAATAGATTCATCTAACACGGTGCCAAATAGTTATTTTTAAAGGGATAATGTGTCTAAAATTTAACCACATTCAACCAGTCTTTACTTTCATTTTAAAAGGAAAGTTTATTCATTTCCAATGTTCTGTACATATTTTCACTTGGAAATTTCATTTCAGACACAAACAAATAGATTTTATCTTTCAAAGCAAAACTATCTTGATTAATTAAAACCGTATACATTTACATTAGCATTAAGTCTGGCTGGCAAATTCCCAAGGGTCAAACATGGCACCTACTTGTGCCAACTGGGAACAGGGTAAAAGTATTTTGCACTTCATTACATTTTGCCTTATCACACATTTAATTCCCTCACAATGTTCAATTTCACATGTAAAAAGCAACTTAGTTATTAATTCCCTAACTAATATAATAAATGTCCACTTTTGATTGAAAACTTTCAACATAAAAAAATAAAACAAGATTTTTCAATAACTGCTTAGCCAAATAAATGTTGCCAATATAAGTTTAAACAGTTTACAAAGCATTATTTCCTTTGTTCTCTTTCAAAACAATACAGGTACACATAAAACCCACATTTCAGGCATCTAAACTGATATTATAGATTGGTGGCATGCAAGTATTGTACATTTTAAAATATATTTTATTGATTTTTTACAGAGAGGAAGGGAGGGGATAGAGAGTTAGAAACATCGATGGGAGAGAAACACTGATCAGCTGCTTCCCGCACACCTCCCACCGGGGATGTGCCCGCAGCCAAGGTACATGCCCTGGACTGGAATCGAACCTGGGACTCTTGAGTCCGCAGGTCAACATTCTATCCACTGAGCCAAACTGATTAGGGTAGTGGTTGGCAAACTCATTAGTCAACAGAACCAAATATCAACAGTACAATGATTGAAATTTCTTTTGAGAGACAAATTTTTAAACTTAAACTGTATAGGTAGTAGGTACTTTGTTATTAACTTAATTAGGGTCCTCCTAAGCTGGTCTTTTCTAAAATCTCAAGGGGCCAAAGAGTTGCATGTGGCTGATGAGCCGCAGTTTGCCGACCACTGGGTTAGGGCATATTGTACATTTTTAAATGCAATGAAAAATGCTTATTTGTTTCCCTCGAATGAATGAAACAAAATTAAGATAAAGGTTTAATTAAAATACAAATATTCCATGTGGAATTGTATTAAAAAAACATAAAGTGGCAGAGATAGAAATTTTAGGTGGGTACAATTTCTTTCTTAACTAAGGATTGTCACTGGCAATGTTTACGACTAAAATAAAATTTCTTAACATGCACCTTTTTTCTATTCATTTCATTCCACATATGGCCAATTCCTATCTATCCATAGGGAACATGTTAATCCTGGCCCAGCTTCTCTCAATTGCACCGTGTACTTCTGATCAGCTTCTCTGTTATCCAGTCAACATGTGTGCAGACACCCAAACACGTGCACGCGCGTACACACACACACACACACACACACACACACACATTTTAAATGAAAGCCTATGAGAAATGTGCTGTTAACTGTGCTCCATTTCCTTCTTTGCATTTCCCCATTTCCTCCACCGATTTTGAGGAGAAAATATTATAAATGTTAAAATATTCTTTCAGAAAAGGCTGTTCCTTGAGAACTACTCTGAAGACAGTAAAAACTGCCGAGGAGGTACAGACAACTGTCTGTCTGTCGGTGGCAAGTTCAGACCCCTTCCTCTGAACAGTGCCTTGTGAAGAGAGATGAAACTGCAATGGGAACCGGTTAGAATCCGGATTCAGGAGCTGGAAGGGACCTTAGACAGCATCTGATCTGCTCACTTCATTTTCCAGATGAAATGAAGTAAAAATAGGTAGAAAGTCTTGCCCAAAGTCACAAACAACTGATATCCAAATCAGCATTGTTTTCCAAAAATACATGGTGACAAATGGAGCATTTTTTACTTATTTAGTTTTTGGAACTGGAGGACAATTCAAGCAATGTTTATTAAGCACCTATTTTGTACAAGGCACCTTACTAGATGTTACTAAAGGTACAAAGATTGATGAGAGTCCCTATCTCCAATTGCTTGTGAAAGTTCTGTGAAGCTAGGTTTCAAGATCCTTCTTAGCAGAAAATAATACTGGCCAGGGCTGAGGTTGCTGGTGATAACAAGGCAGCTGCTGCCCAGGAGAGCTGATCTCTCAGGTGATACTGCTTCCCTTTACTACCAGAGCTCAGCCAGTAACACAGCTGCCACAGCCCCACGGACATTCTTCTCCTAGCCCCGTAGGCACACCTCAGGCCACAGCCTGCCCCACCCTGAATGGCGACAGAGCTGACAGGAGGGCAGCAGTGTCCCAGACCCTCGTCACTGTTTGCTTCCCCCTGTGTCCAACCCTGGCCTCTCTGCAAAGGTCCCGACCCGTCCCAAGGAGCTGTCAAAGTGACTCAGGAAAACGCCCTACCACACACATCACTGGAAATAACACACACTGCCCCATCAACCACGTCTCCCATGTCTTTGTGGAAAATAAAGTAATCCCAGTCCTCTATATCATACTCATGCTTCCATTCCCCATACTAAAAAAGATGTGGAAGATCCAATTATTGGTCAGAGGAAAAGAAAAGATTCAAGAGGCAGAGGAAAAATTAGTGAATCAATATGTATAAAAGGCTAATCTGCAAAGTGTCCCCTTGGGAGTTCCACTGGGAGACTGGTAGTTCGATTGCTTGCTGTAATGTGCGCTGACCACAAGGGGGCAGCTGGCAGCCAGGGAAGGAAGGCCCAGGCTGGTGGCCGGAAGCCCTGATAGGCCCTAATTGCTGGCCAGGCCTAGGGACCCCACCCATGCATGAATTTTGTGCACCAGTCTTCTAGTAGATAATAGAAATGATCTCCCACTTTTGTACAGTCCTTTCCAGTATATTTTCATCCTACTAGCTGATTATATTCTCACCACAACTCTGTGAGGTAGTTAGTGAAGGTATTGTTCCCATTAGAATATAGCTGAAGAATTTAGGCTTGAGAGACTAAGTGGCTTGCTCCAAAGTCACCCAGCTAAGAAAGAGTGGAGCCAAGTGTCCAGGTTTCTTGACTCCAAATCCAGTGCTCTTTCCCCTATTTAATCTACTAGAGGCCTAGTGCATGAAATTTGTGCATCAGGGAGGATCCCTCAGCCTGGCTTGTACCCTCTCGCAGTTCGGGAGGCCTCACTCCTCACTGCTTGCCTGCTCGCTAGCTTCTGGCTGAGTGGTGCTCCCCCTGTGGGAGGACACTGACCACCAGGGGGTAGCTCCTGCCTTGAGCACTGCCCCCTGGTGGTCCGTGAGCATCATAGTGACCAGTTGTTCCACTGTTCGGTCTATTTGCATATTAGCCTTTTATTATATAGGATAATTGGCAGGCAATTAAATGATCATATATACCTGCTAAGTGTCAGTGATAGGATTAGGAGTCAATCTCTAAATCTGTTAATATGGTTCTCCTCCACCAGACCAACTAGCAAAGCCTAAGTGCTCAGAATGACTACCATGGAAGATACCAGAGAAATGTCTAATCTTCACCCTCCAAATCAATGATGCGCCACAAAACTGGGATAATCTTTAGTGCATGTACAGTCTTCCTAGCACAGTAGCCAGAGGCAGGTTCAAAATTTAAACCTTGGAATCTGCCTCTGTCCATCTACTGAATGTTCAATCACTGATGTTATGGGCAGATGGGAAAGAGGAAAGCTGATCAGAGTTACTTCTGCTGTTATACAAGTTAAGACCTCTAATTTCCATCTTCCTTTTCCACCTCACTCAGCCTCTCCACTTTTCTAAACTCCTGAACCACAATCGAAACCCAATCTAATCCAGAGTTGGTAATAAGAAAACAATGAATCCATCCTGGGTTCTAGGTATTTTCCTCCTCCCGGTTTGTTGGGGGAGGAGTCATGTGATTTTCACCCAGAATGCTCTGCCTGATGCTTCTAGTCATTCTCACACCTTTTCTTTGCATGTGTCTCAGTCCTTTAGCTTTGAGGATGGCATGGTATGTGGTGGGAAGATTTAAAATGAGGAGCAAAAGGAAAAACTGCCACTGGAAGGCAGAGCTAAAACATTTCATCTTAGTTCTCTGTTCATTAAAATGAAAGTAGCAAGAGATCAACCAAAGAACTTGTATGCATATACCCATAGACACCGACAAAAAGGTGGTGAAGGCCTGGGGGGGGAAGGGGAGTGGGGAGAGGTTAGAAGAGGTTAATGAGGGGAAAAGGGGACTTATGTAATACTTTCAACAATAAAGGTTTTTTAAAAAGGAAAGGAGCTATTACTGCATCATTAGTGTCTGAGAGGGAGGAAGCTTCAGGATCGTGACTTAAACCCGATTCCAGAATCAGGTAACAGGCCACAGAACCCAGAATTCACAACTTACCACCCCTGCCCATTGGTGCTGCTGCCATAAATACTTGCACTGAAGATGGTATCCACTTTGCAGAAAGGCACTCTACCCTCAAAACCCAAGAAACACATATCAAATTGTATCAGTCCAGAGTTTTTGTACTTCCTGTCCCCCTTGCAGTGCCTATATGTCTAAGCATTCATATGCACAAAGAAGGAAATAGCTGCAAACTCTTCTGTGAATTTAAAGCATGCTGATGCTTAGCAGTGTTTTCAAATTTGAGCGTCTGACCCGACCTCCTGGCAGTTATTCAGAGCACTCGGGTCTCCCTCAAGCTGGTGCCCTGCCTGGCAGAGAAGCTGCTGCTGTGATCTGGTGTTCCAGGCTTCCCTTAGAGCAGTGGTTGGCAAACTCATTAGTCAACAGAGCTCGCATGTGGCTCACGAGCTGCAGTTTGCAGACCACTGACTTAGGGAAATGGTTTTGAGGAGTACAGGCATTTGGGGTTTCTGAATTTTGAAGTGGAGATGGGCTTTTATTGTACAGTAATCTGTGTGCTCTCAGATGGGTGAGCTGCACGTGTCTGTCCAGGTTAGTAATTCTCTATCTAAGCTAGGCCTGCAGCAACTTTGAAAGGGAAAAGGGCCTGAGGGACAGCATCTCCCTCCAATCAGTTGTCCAGCTTTAGCCAAGGAGCTCCATACAGTAATTAGTGATCTTTATTTACAAAACACTTATATATACCCTACCCAGATGGAAGGAAAGAGCTTCGTCTTATACACTATAGGCATATGGAGAGATTTGATGTTGAAACAATGAAGTTTCTAATCTTTATTCCCTAAGGTTGTTGACCATGCACACTGTGAAATTTGGGGGGTGAGGACCTAAAATGCAAACTCTAGGGAGTGATTTCACATTAACCTGGGCCCGCAGCAACTCTAAAAAGGACAGGGACAAGGAGTTGGGAGAGAGCATCCCCCTTCAATCGGTTGTCCAGATGTAGCCAAACACCTAGTTATTTAGATATTTGGCGACACACACACACACACACACACACACACACACACACACTTATTTACATTAGGTCCTAACAAGATAAAAGGGAAAGATTTACTCATGCCCATGATGATGAAGTAGCATCCTCTACGCACTTCCGTACGGTGGGGAGATGGAGTGCTGGACTAGTGATGTGATCTCCGGACTTCCAGAATTTGTCTTCTAAAAGTCTCCTTTTACAAGTCATGCTGTGATATGAGCCTGTAGGTCCTGGTGAGTGATTCTGTACTTACTGTGGGCCTATCCACATCAAAAAGAGGGAAGGAGGTGGTCTGGGAAGGGATTATCTCCCTTCAATTGGTTGTCCAGATGTTGCCAAATATCAGCATCATATTTGGCAAGTGCATACATATAAAAATATTTTATACACGTTATGTGCCACCATGATGAATGGTAAGGGATTAATCATGCTCATAATAATGAAAAGACTACTTGCACACTTTGGGAAGATGCTCGAGAGATGAAGTCCTAGGCTAAGTAAATGATTTATAGACTCTCCAAAATGTAAGTTTATCTTCTAATAGTTATCTTTAATATGTGAATAATCATGAAAATGTCACCTTTCAAGCTACTTTTAAAACACAGGTAATATTAAGATAAAATGATTATATATAAATATTAGATTTCATAGATTCTATTACATGTGAGCCAACTATTTTACAAGCTAAAACAGTGCTAAATTTTGATAATACCCCATTATCTTGCTTTAATACTATCAACAACTGCAGTACAGTCTCTATTAAATTCTGACTTTTTTCTTGCTTTCTGCCAGAGTTTGTCAAAAACTGCTTTAGCCCCCAGCCTTCAGCACCTTGGGGCTGCAGAAAACACTCTGTAGAATTCAAGATTCCTTAGGGGAGAAGCTAAAAATAAGAGTGAATGAGAAAAGAAAGGAAAAAGTCCTATTTGCAGGGTCATGCAGCATTTAAATATATCTGCAATGAATCTAAAGTGCTAGGAGAAAGAAATGGAAATGTTCTCCCCTTTGGCAACATGGTAGCCATACATATGTATACACACACACACACACCACACAAAGAGTTGTATACATTGCTGATGCGTGTTTATAAACCAGCAACTGGGGGCATGGGATAGGAGGAAGCCCTGATTTGTAAAATTTGCTAATTTCCTTGGTGTAAATACTCCCACCACCATGGCCAATTTCAAACTCCCAGCAAGAGGTCCTGAACTTCTGAGTTCAGAGGAGATGTAAACAGTACAGCATTATAGCATGTCTGCCATACCGACAATAACAGATGCAAATAGTCTTAAGAGCACAGAAAATAGTAAATGTACTTTTGAGTATTACTTTTTGTTTTTAATATAACTTGATTTTAAGTGCATGACATTTAATTTTTAATAATGGCCATGTTTAACAACCAGTTTGCAAAATTCTTGAAAATTTTATAATCAGTAAGCCTGCATGAGCTGGCTCCAACATTCCACATCTAAGTAAGTAAGGGGAAAGGAAAAATCAGCTGAAAACAATTAAATACTATTTACTGTGCTTTTTTTTTTTTTTTTTTTTTTTTTTTTTGGTATAGGTAGGGAGACATAGTGGAAAACTAAAGAATTTTTAGCGTCCTAAAAACATCAACAGGTTCTGCTCATTAGTCCCTCAAAAATGTAAAATATTCTCAAGAAAATTAGGTTTCAAAGAATTTTAGGGCTACAGATGTGAGTACTTAGAATATAGGTAAATGTCCAATTTTATAAAGGCTATCTATCTGAAACGGTTCCCATGTGTTCTACAAGCTAGCTAGAATAATATGTGAATTAATGTCTCATTTTTAAAAACTTGTTTTACTGCTATCAAGCAACGCAGGAACATTCAATTACTAAACAAATTCTGGGCTGGGCCCACCTTCTGCCAGAGTCAGCAACCCCTTTAGCTCCAGCGGTTACCAGCACTAGGCATGCCGCCTTTACAAGACTCAGCATTACAAACAGGAAAGAGAATGAGTTGGAAGGAAGGGGAGAAGGGAATAAGGAAGGGAGACATAAAAGCTAGTGTTAAGTAAGAGTGCCACCAATTCCAGCCTTGGGCCCTGACAGTTATCAGAGACAGGTGCACTTGAGCCAAAGGCTGTAGTCACTTGTTTCCTTATTTCAGCATCAGGCCGCTGCAAGATTAACGCACACCACCATGCAATCATTGCCACTGTGCTGTCACAGCCTTCGTTCTTGAGATGACAAACATCTGGATAAGTGATAATTCACACTTTTTCCTGATGTTGGCAAGTATCTGGATGGATCATGCCATGTAGACAAAAATCAGTGTAATTAACTTGAATGTTCACCTTTTACCCTGCAATCTTGTTACACTAAAGAAAAAGCAATAAATCCTTCTAAAATTTGCCAAAATAATTCAGTCATGTGCATCAGACAGCTTGATTAATGTACAATTATTATTGTTTTATTTGGGTGTGTACTGTTTTAAAAGCCTCCCTCTTCCTAAAACTTAAAAATATCCCATCCTGTCTGGAAAACTTTAAAACAGCTTTGTAAAAAGCTATCCATCAGAAACATGTTAAAGATTGAATTTATGTTGAATAATTAGTCAAGTAGGTGTGCCAATTCATTGTCCTTCCCGTGAGTCTATCTTGAAGTTATATCTGTGGGTTAATAAACATTGTATACTTATTTACTAAGGCTATGTTAAAGCATCATAATGCTGTCTTGTTTTTATGAAGATGACCCCATTGATTTTTGATCAGTGGGGCATGTGCATTCAGTGTTATTTCTGGAACTAAGAATTTGTGCTAAATTGGGTTGCATTTCTCACCCTGTGAAAGATTGGCAATACTAACTTCTTATATGGTCAGCAGAACACTTCTGCTGTATTTAGCCTAACTCAAAGCTATGCATGTAAACAGAGGTAGGCCTCTATCATAATCAGTTACAAACACACTTACATACTAAATGCCTTGTAGTGGTCATAAAAAGTTCATGCAAGCGAGACAACCCAATATGAAAGTGGTTAAGGCCTTTTCAATTGTTGCCACCCACTAAGACCTGCCTATGTCCACTGGTGCAAGTTGCCAGAGGTGCCCACGAGCAAATAAAACAACCGAATGTGTTTAAAAATCCCGGATAAATCAGTAGTGCTAAAAAAGAATAAAAATTAAGTATTAGCTTTGTGGTTAACGGAAATGAACCTTTGATAAAATAGTCCCGGTGGGGAGGGAGCAGCGCTTTTGTTTGCTTTTAAATGGCTGCCGTGGTGGAACTTCGCCTCTTGTAGAAATTTACTTTCGTTCTCCTTCAACTCGCTTTTTACGAACTAGGTAAGAAAGAAAGAAAGGTTAAAATGACAAAGTGAAGGGATACTCCTTAAATTTCAGATAAACAACATCAATCACTCAAAACAGCAATCTCACACACTTGAGGATAGAGTTACCTTAAATTTCAATATTCAATTACCCACTGGATTATTCTCTCATTCTTAGTTAACAATGAGAGAATCAACCCAGGGTCGAACTGGGTTTACATGTACATAAAGCTATGTCTGATAGTTGAGAATTTGAATGTTAGGACTTTCCCAGTTCTACGGAGTAGAATAGACCCACAATGCAGAGAACTTCCAAATATTTCCTTGGTCACTTATCCACAGCCCTTCTCAGCTTCTGTGCAACTCAATCACCTATCAGCTTTAATGCCCCAGGATGACACATTCACAACCCGTTAATTCTGATTATGGCTTGTAGACCAGGAGGATCTGCAATAGAAAATTGGAAGTTTCTAAACCTGTTTTAAATCAGATCTCCTAAATATCAACCTCCAAGGAAGGTGTGATTCAGATGGCAACCAAACTTAGAGATGAAGGTTCCCTTAAACTGGTTCCTAGTATCCAAGAAGTTGCCTGGCTGCCCATTCCCAGTTCCTGCCACCGTCTTCGTCCCCCTTTCACCTCCCGCCTGCAGCCTCCTCTAGTGGGTAGCAGGAGGGCTACTCTCATCTTCTTGGATTTGGCAGAAATGGTGCCCTGACTGTGACCCTGCCCCAACTCTCCACTTTAAATAGCCCAGCCTACTGCCTAGGCTGTGAAAATGCAAAGGTCTAACCCACAGTTACTGCTCCTGGGCTGGGCTGGCCCCTCCATTTACTTCAAGTTTCTCGTTGTGCCTGAACGAGATGTTGTTCAACTGTGGAATCCTCCCCTTGTCCTAAACATCTTCCGACTGTTACCTCTACCTGTCCCCAAAGCCCTGTTTGCTGGGACGCCTCCTTAGCCTCACCCTCTGCAGCCCAAAGGCAAGCACTGCCATCTGCCCGGCCAGGCTCCAGATGCCACACATTGCTCTGAGGCTGGGCCTCAGGGTCTTGGCTCAGTGTGCGGGCAGAGAGCTGGACACTAATTTTACCTGCTCCCTTCTGGTTCGAACCCTTCAGCTTCTATCTTCTCTACTATCTGAATGCTCCCTAGGTTCCAGCACCATACTTCGCAGAACACTGTGCCCAGTTCCCCTGCCCAAGGTCTGGTATTCTGACCCTGAATCTCGTACTGGGGACTGAGGCCTGCTATTGGCTCACTGCTTGTCAAGTGGACTGTCTACCCCTGGGTGCCCTTTTGCTATGCTGCTTCGAGTGGCGGGGATGTCCCCAGACCAAGCCTTCCCAACCTGTCCCATTCCTCTGTGCCGTGGTTGACTAGGACATGCCCCACCTCGTGTGAACAGAAGAAATGCCACAGATCCTCAGCCAAGAGTGGGCAGCAGGAAACGTTAACGAGAGGCTAACTGGAAAAGCTACCTCCGAGTTTCCCTTCACAGCATGGTTTCACTAGTTCAGTTCGCATGTAAATTATCCGAGTATCAGGCATAACCATATTTAAACCCAACTACAAAAGCACAGTCAGGCACAAACCAAGTGAATTAGGAATGTCCATGCCATTGTGTCCAGCCATCTGCTGCTGGTATAGATAACAGCAGAGAGTGATTACATGCAATAAGTAAGGAAAGAAGAAGCAAATACATAAAAGAAACAAAGCAAAAATCACAGGTTGTCTAGAAAAAAAAGAACAAACCGTTCTTGAGAGGATGCTACAATAAAGCTTAACCTGTGAAGAGGACGAAGATTCCCATGACCACGTAATAGTTTGCCCGTGATGAAGGGCTAGCACTAGAGGCCAGTGGGAGGGTGATATGTTAGAGCTGAAGTGGAGAAGTGAATGATCACCATGCTTTTCTAGTGGCTAACAGCACCACAGTATGCCCGCATTACCCAGGTCATTATTCTTTGTGATGGCAGCTGCCACTCTTGTTCGTGGCCCTTGCTTGGTAAACTGATATCCAAATTTGAGGATCCTTGAATTCTCCTCGAGCATCTGGGCAATTTCCATCTCTACGGCTGTTCCCAACTGCTGTCTCTGGTTGCAGGTGCAGGTAGATACATAGGATGACCGAGAAGAATGAAAAAACAGTTACGTGTGTGGAAAAGATACGTGGCTACTTGTTGGACAACAAACAAAGAGCCAAAAGTCTCCAAACGAATGGGAAAAAGTCACCTGAGATATTTTCTTCCATGCAGTCATTTGCTCCTTGTCTAGAAGCAAAACCCGACAGATAGATAGCAAAGTCAGCTGAGAGGACTAAGCCAATTATTTATGAAGAAAAAGATGATCCCAGATGTAAAATGAAAGCAAAACCAGTATTTGGTGTTTCCAATTTACCCCATTGTTTATGGTTTTAAACAAAGGGTGTCTTTTAATAGGAAAACTGAATTATAGCAACCAATCCAATTACTGAATTTTCTATTCTGGGATCCATATCCAAAAATAATTAAAGATAATCAATTAATGAGCCATTCTTTCTCAGCAGAGTCTCACTAGGAGATCCCCAAGAGGCTTCACCACAGTCAAGTGAGTTATCACACACTGAAGGGGTTACTGAACTACAGAAAAGTTATCACATTTCTTTATGTTTGTGAAAAGAGATATTTTGCTAAACATTAAAAGTAGATTTTTAAAAATGGAAACATGTAAAAATAAGAATTTAAAATTAAATTTAAGGGACACGGTACATTTTTTTCATAATATATTCATTAAATATTTTTAAGAAAAAGGACACTTTTTTATTATATAGGATACACAATAAAGTGTATCCTATATAATAAAAAGGTAATATGCAAATTGATCCTCACTCCCTTGTATCACAAGATGGCCGCCCCCACATTGTCACAAGCTGACTGACAAGGGAGGGCAGTTGGGGGGGTGGGACCAGGCCTGCAGGGGAGGGCAATTGGGGGTGATCGGCTGGCAGGGGAGCAGTTAAGTGTCAATCAGGCCAGTAGGGGAGCAGTTAGGGGGTGATCAGGCTGGCAGGCAGAAGTGATTAGGGGAAATCAGGCAGGCAGGCAGATAAGCTGTTAGGAGCCAGCGGTCCTGGATTATGAGAGGGATGCCCAGCTAACTGTTAGACCATGTGGGTTCGGTCCTAAACCAGCAGCCGGACATCGGCCAGAGTGGAGAGGGTAGAGGCTGGGCTGAGGGACACCCTCCCCAGTGCACGAGTTTTGTGCATCAGGCCTCTAGTAAAATATAAAAGCTCCCTTCCCCTAATATCCACATTCCCCACAGAGGAAGCCAGTTTGGTATACAGTATGTAGTCTTAAACATTTTCTATGTATTCACATGTCTATGTAATCTTATGTACACCTATTTCCCCCCCCACAGAAATGGATTCTACTGTAGTAGCATATTGTTCTGAAAGATGTTTTTCTTTTTCTTTTAAGATTAGTAACACCTTGCCGAGACCGGTTTGGCTCAATGGATAGAGCGTCGGCTTGGGGACTGAAGGGTCCTGGGTTCGATTCCGGTCAAGGGCATGTACCTTGGTTGCGAGCATATCCCCAGTAGGAGGTGTGCAAGAGGCAGCTGATCGATGACTCTCTCTCATTGATGTTTCTAACTCTCTATCTCTCTCCCTTCCTCTCTGTAAAAAATCAATAAAATATATTTTAAAAAAAAGATTAGTAACACCTTTTCATGTAGGTAAACACATATTACCTCATTGGACAGCTGCCCAGCATTCCACTGTAGTAATGCATCATAATGTCTGCAGCTAGGTCCTAATGACTATTTGTTATATTGCTTTCCATTTCTACTATTGCAAACCATGCTGCAGGGACCTTCCCGTGCACACACAGTGTATCCTGGGGCATTTCTGCAACTGTGCCTGGGAGGCAAATTTCAGCAGGATCCAGGTGTAAGCATGTTTTAATTTTTGACATATTACTGACTCATCCTCAAAGGCTATGGCAATTTTTACATTTGCTAACAGTGTTTGAGTTACTGTTTTCCTTACCCTAACCAACATGGGATATTACCAATCTTTTCATCCCTGTCAATCCAATAAGTGAAATTTACATTTTATTTGTATATATTTAATTGCTTTAATTTGCTTTTCTCAAATTATGAATAAGAACAATTAATTTTCTCATACTTTTTTTTTTTAAACTACCAATCTCTGTAAGTTGCCCATTTTTCCTGGGCTTTTTATTTTTTTAAGGCTTGTAGATTTATTATATATTAGGAAATTAGCCCTTTGTTAAATTTGCTGAAAATACTTGTTCAATTTCTTTCTTTTTTTGATTACTTAAACACATTTTCTCCCTTTCATATGGTCAAATTTATCAATCTAGATTTTATGTCATGTTTAGAAAGTCTCTACTCCTGATATTTTCCACTTGTTTTATGATTTTGCATATTGTAATATTTAAATCTTATTTCATCTGAAATGAATTTTAATATAAGAATTAAAATATACCCCAGTCAGTTTGGCTCAGTGGATAGTGTCAGCCTACAGACGGAAGGATCCTGGGTTCGATTCCGGTTAAAGGCACATGCCTGGATTGTAGGCTTGATCCCTAGTAGAAGGTGTGCAAGAGGCAGCCAATCAATGATTCTGTCTGTTCATTGATGTTTCTATCTTTATGTCTCTCTCCCTTCCTCTCTGAAATCAATAAAAGAATATTTAAAAAAGGAATTAAAATAAAACACCAACTTTATTTTGTTCCAAAATGGATTCTGGTAGCAAATTGTCACACCATCTTTTACTTCATTTTTCTTCAATGATTTGAAATACCTCTTTGTTACAAAATTCTTACGTATACTTGAGTGTTTCTGGACTCTATTACCCTGCCACTCTATTTCTGTGCCAGTATTATGCAATTGGATTGCTTTAATACCTTTTGAATTTGGAAAATTTAAGTATGGGGTAGATGAAGGATAAACGTTTATGAAGAAAGTTTTTGTGTCCTTTGCTCTTTATTTTTCGTTTCATCAAACAACCTGTCAAATGAGTCTCTTGCTAAGATATTAACAAAAATGTGGTACTTCCAGTAAGACAACAGATTTGGGAATCACAGGGTGGAGTCAGCATTCTCAGCAATGAAGATCTATGGGAGGGAGGAGCAGCAATAAAGTAAGAGATACTGACCTCACAGTATCATGAGCAACTTTAGCTCATGACACACTTTCGAACAATGGGACTGAATTAAGGGCTGAGATCCAGCCTCAGGTGGGGGCTGCCACCGTTCTGGCTTCTGCCCTCGAATGGGCCAACGTGGTGCTCTCCACGTTGATTGACAGAGGGGCAACATAAAAGTCCCCTTACTTCTCCTGACAAATCTCAAGCATACAGAGTCTAGCACTTGGATAGCTTGGAGGATGGCATATTGATATAAAGGATGTAGGAGCTGAAAATTATGCTGGAGGCATGTAAAAGAGGAGGAGAAAGTAATATAATATAGGGCATCTTTCTTTCTCAGCCTGAGTTTTGTTTTGTTTTGTTTGTTTGTCTTTTTGAGGTCTTCTGTGTTGTATAAACCCAGGATACTAAATGAGCACTAGAATTTCTTATAATTTGGATAGTAGGTTTCTTTATATTAAGTCACTAAATACAAAGAAAAAAAGAAACAAAAGTTTAAGCATACATTTCTTCATATAACCTTTTGTTTTTCTTTATTTTTATTAATGTCTTTTAAAAAATTGATTCTGAGAGAGAGGGAGGAAAAGAGATGGGGGGAGAGAGAGAAACATCAGTGGGTTGCTTCCTGCATATACCTCCACATCCCAAATGCACCCTCACTGCAACCTGGGCATGTGCCCTGACCAGGAATCAAACCAGTGACCTTTTGGTGCAGGGGATGATGCTTAACCAACTGAGCCACACTGGCCAGGAAACAGTCTGTTTTTCTTTAAGTAACCTCTTTTCACCACCTCCATTTATTTATTCGTGAATATGCATTACCGATTGTGCTCACAGGGCACCTGATTAAGTCATTACATATTTAGCTGGAACCCACCCGGTGGGGTGTTCTCAGCAGGCCTCCATTCTGGTGCAGTTTCCAGCTGCACTGGTGTTACTGGGTCTCAGCTGCTGGCCCTGCCTGAGGAAACTGTCTTAGAGATTAGTTTATTTCAAACCCTTCCTTAGACAGAGGAGGAAACAGAGATTTACTTCCAACAGTCTGTGAGTCAGTGAACGAAACTGTGGATGGAAATCAAGGTTTGTTTATGAATTTCCTCATTCTTAAAATAAAGCAAAAACATCATTCCAATTGTTCTAGAACTTAACCCTCTTACTGTCACGAGTAAAGAGAAGTCATTTCAGAGTTGAAAAATTACACAAATCCATGCCTAGATGACTGAGGAGGGATGGCGAGGATGATACTTTAGATGGGATTTTTTATTTATTTATTTGTATCATTTTTGTTAATCTTCTTCTGAGGATATTTTTCCCATTAATTTTTACAGAGAGTGAAAGGGAAGTGAAGAAAAGAGAGAAAGGGGGGAGAGAGAGGGATGGGGAAAGAGAAAGAGAGCAAAAGAGAAACATTAATGTGAGAGAGACCCATCATTGGTTGTCTCCTGCATGTGCCCTGACTGGGGCGGGGATCGAACCTACAACCCAGGTACCTGCCCTTGACGGGGAATCAAACCCGAGAACCTTCGGTATTTGGGCTGACATTCTAACTTCTGAGCCACACCAGCCAGGGCTTATTATTTTTAAAAAATTTTTTTTATTGATTTTAGAGAGACAGAGAAAGAGATGAAGGGAGAGCGAGAGACATCGCTTGGCTGCCTCCCGCACACTCCTTACTGGATCTAGAGGGAATTTAAGAGGGACTGTATTTTAGGGTCTTCTTCACATGCGTTAGAAAAAGCTGCTCTATTCTAAATTTTTAGGATTTCAGCTCACTCACTACATATAAGGCTGTCAGATTTAGCTAATAAAAATACAGAACACCAGTTAAATTTAAATTTCAATAAATAACAAATAAATAATGTAGTATAAGTATGTCCCATGATATTCTTGGGATATAGTTGTACTAAAAAGTAATTGTTGCTTATCTGAAATTCAAGTTAAACTGTATTTTATCTGGCAACCCTAACTAGATGGTATTTTACAAAGAACTAGGAACAGAGCATCGAGATCGTTATTTAGGATATGGGGTTTCACTACGGCCTAAGCCAACACAAGAAGTTAAATATACTTTGGGCTAAAGTGTCCACTTCTGTCTTAGATCTCCTGGGAGTAGTTACTAAGAGAACTCAACTTCTTCCTGATACTACTCTAGTTGATAAATATCCCTGAGCTGTCACTTCTTTTCCTTTGGCATTTTTCTCACTTGTGCTCCTGCTCTCCTCCTTCCTGATGATCTTTAATTTACTAGCTGCTGGACACACACCCACACACACAGCATCGGCTTCCCCTGAACGTGTCTGGTCTTCCCCCCTGGGCGTCCCTCCACACCCTCTGCGTTTGGAAAGCTGTGTTGGTTTGCATCCCCTCTGGGGATGGTGAGGAAGCCTTCCTGCCTCCCGGGAGGGTTCCCACTTCCCTAGTAACAAGCCTCATGAGGAGTACAGGGCTGAACAGTCCTGTTGTCCTGGTCAGCAAAAAACAGAGTAGAGCTGTCCATGGAACCTGTCTCCAGGCTTAGGCAGAAGTCCTGCGCAGGCCCAGCCAGCACGGCTCAGTGGTTGAGCCATTGACCTATGAATCAGGAGGTCATGATTTCATTCCTGGTCAGGGCACATGCCCGGGTTGCAGGCCGAATCCCCAGTGCGGGGCGTGCAGGAGGCAAATGATCAATGATTCTCTCTCATCATTGATGTTTCTATCTCTCTCTCTCTCCTTCTCCTTTCCTTTCCTTTCTGAAATCAATAAAAATATAATGAAGGGGAAAAAAAGAAAAAAAAGAAAAAAAAAGGTCCTGAGTAGGATCCTGGGGCTTTATCAGATCTTAGAGGGTCTAGACCAGGAAATTTCCCAGATATGCAGGGGGCACTCTCACCAGGTACTTTCCTCACTGCCTCTCTCCCACCCCACAAAAGAATGCTCATAGTACAAGACTCCTTGCTCTCTCCTCTTTCAGTTCCATTCCAGGGCCCTTTCTTCCTACTGCACAGTGTCTAGACCCCTTAGATTCCCTGAATCTCACTGTAGACACTTTCCTGTGACAAAGGAGCAGGGTTACACGCCGAGAACTGAGACATGCTCCCTGTGAGCTGGAGCCAGCTGAAGCAGCAGAGCAAGTCTGGAGGCAGGGCAGGCAGGCTGAGGCTGGGAAAGAGGTCTTCAGGGCACAGGAAGTGGTGGCTCCAGGGAAAAAACAACTAGCTTTGGCTGGTGATGGGAACCTGAGAAACGCTGTAACAGAGCTGAGATTATGACTGCACCATGGTGAGTCCGATGCTACTCTTTTTATTATTTTTATTTTATTGATTTTTTTATTAAAGAGAGGAAGGGAGAGGGATAGAGAGTTAGAAACATCCATCAGCTGTGTGCCCACAACTAAGGAACGTGTCCTTGACCAGAATCGAACACAGGACCCCTCAGTCCGCAGGCCAATGCTCTATCCACTGAGCCAAACCGGTTTCGGCTGATGATAATCTAAGCCAGGCCATCTTCTAGAAACCCCAAGTCCTTTATTTATTTATTTAAAAAATATTTTTATTGATTTCAGAGAGGAAGGGAGAGAGATAGAAACATCAGTGATGAGAATCATTGATTGGCTGCCTCCTGCACACCCCACACTGGGGATCAAGCCTGCAACCTGGGCGTGTTGTCCTGACCAGGAATCAAACTGTAACTCCCCTTCCCCCCAACCCTCTACACTCCCCACCCCCGCTTCACCATCCCTGGTTCATAGATTGACACTCAACCGCTGAGCTGTGCTAGCCGGACACAGAACCCAAAGTCCTTTAAATGGGCTCTGTGGCCAGCACCAGACTGCAGGAGCCCGCTGTACTCTTTCAGCTCCGGAACCTCCATCCAGAGACAGGAAGTCTGCCTCTGGGAGTGGCCACACTGTAGCCATAGTCCCAGCGATAGGCAACAGCAAGGCTGGAGCAGGCATCGGTTGAGATTCCTGCTGAGAGGCCGCAGTATGACGGCTGAACAAAGCAACTGCCATACCTCTGCTCCCCACCTGCTCTTTCTCCTCTAGGCCTGACCAGCCCAGGGCTGGGGGTTACCTGGCTCTTTATAGCTCAGGCTGCCCCACTGTGCAATGCTTAATCAGGAGCACGCTGCCCCCTCCTCCCCCACAGGCCTGCAGCTTTTATAAAGTACAGGAAAGCCAGAACATATAATAAAACCGAGCTACAGAATTTTGTCCTTTAACTCACTCCATTGTGGCATACCTTTCCCAGGCAGCCTGCGGGTCGGCTTACCTGGTTGTCGATCTTGATTTCTGTCAACGTGTCATTTTCTCTCAGCGCCTCTACCAGGGCCAGGATCCCAGCTCCAGTTATAAAATTGGATTCTATGTTTAGACTTTTCAAGGTCTTGTTCACTTTCAGCATATCTGCAAAAGCCTTATTAATTCAAAAAGAAAATAACCATTAGGGTTTCTAAAGACCTATTTCCTGAATAAGTCTTTAGAAACTCCCCACCCCCAAATTAAATGAGTCTTTTTTTTAACAGTACTTAAAAAACTTAGTTAAATCATACTTTCACCTCAAAGCTAAAAGATAATTTAAAACTCAAAAAACTGTTTAGTCCAGCAGCCCACACTTATGAATTTTATATATCTGCAAAACTAAAAAAAAAGAAAAAAAAAAAAGAGAAGATACTGACATAGGATTACAACTCACACACACACACACACACACACACACAAACAAAAAAACAAAACAACAACACTTCACTGCCACCTGTTATCACTACCAATGTTATTTTTGAGAAAAGGCAGTTTAACATTAGGCAATATGTACAAAGGATTTAATTTCAGAATTATTTCATTTTGCCCCTTCCTTTATGAATGAATTAAAATAAAACCTTTACTACTGACTAGCATTTAGACACTACTGATTTAGTCATATCACTTCAGGTCATCCAAAATCAGAACTCCTCAGATAACTCTTGTAGGGCAGCTACAAGTGTTTATCTGAAAGGACCCACTGAGGCTCAGAGGAATGAATAAAAAAGACTCATAGGTGGGCATATACAAGTGAAATTTCAGAACTCCTAGGAGAGAGAGTCCTCAAAGTTTCTAGCAAGAAAAAATAAGTTTGCTCTAGTTGGTTTGGCTCAGTGGATAGAATCAGTCCACAGATCAAAGGGTCCAAGGTTCGATTCTGGTCAAGGGCACAAGTCCAGGGTTGCAGGCTGGATCCCCAATAGGGAGCATGCAGGAAGCAGCCAATCAATAATTCTCTCTCATCATTGATGTTTCTAACTCTCTCTCCCTCTCCCTTCCTCTCTGAAATCAATAATATATATATATATAAAAGTTACATGGAAAAAAGTGTCACTCAATTTCAAGGCACTTGAGAATTGTATATGCTAAGGATAAGTTTTAAAATTTGGAGTCAATCCATATATATAACATAAAATATGATGTAAAGCCGCTGGAATAGCTCAGTGGTTAAGCATTGATCTATGAACCAGAAGGTCATAGTTCTATTCCTGGTCCGGGCATATGCCCGGGTTGAGGGCTCAATCCCCAGTGGGGGTGTGCAGGAGGCAACCGATCAATGATTCTCTCTCATCATTGATGTTTGTATCTTCCTCTCCCTTCCCTCTGAAATCATTAAAAACATATTTATTTTAAAAATATTATATAAAATATATAAAGTTCAAATGTGAAGATAATAAAATAACTACAATTTGGTGATAGAAGAGGAAGGAGGGATGGAAGGTAGAGTGAGTTCAGAAATGCCTTCATCTTTTCTAATGGATGATAACAAATGATCTAAGATGGCAAATTAAAAATAAAAATGAAAATAAAATAAAAATGTATGTATACTAGTGTTTTTCTACTGTGATTGCATATTAGAATGACCTGGAAGCCTTACAAATATACCAATGCTTAGGTCCCAACCCAGAATAATGAAATCAGAACCTGGTGGCCTTGATAGCTACATTTTAAATTGTTGACAGTACTACAGATCCCCATCTCACCCCCCACCGCTTTGCCCCCCTCCACCCAACCCCCATCCCCCCACAGGCCTTCATCCCACTATCGTCTGTGTCCATGATGGATAGCTGCGTTTTTGAAAAGCTCCCCAGGTGACTAACATTCAGATACTTTAATTAAAGTTATAAAGACAACAACCAGAAGAATGAAAAGCAAACCAACAGTGATTATTCTGGGGAACAGAACAAGGAATGTCTAAACTATTTAAGTAGTTTTTATGGAGGAAGAAACAGGAAGGATGGAGAAGGAGTCCAACTTGGGGGTTTCTCAGCCTTTGCACTGTGGACATTTGAGGCAGGAATTCCTTGCTGTGGGGGGATGTCTTGTGTACTGAGACCCACTAAATGCCAACAGTACCCCCTCTTCCCCTCCCAGTAATGACAACCAAAATTATCTCCAGACGCTGCCAAATATCCCTGGAGGGCAAAACTGCCCTGAGTTGAGAACCACGGAACTAGAAGAATAATCCTGTGTATTAGTCAGGCAGTTGCATGACCTAAAAAGCAAGTACAAAGATTTGGACTGACATGACTGTATACCGTGTAAATCGAAGTGCCAGGTCTTTAATTAGAATTAAATGTACACATTTTAATTAGAGCACTAGTGGGAATGCATCAGGCCTTTCCTTATGGATGCTTCAAGCTTTGAGATTTACTTTCATTATTAAAATAACAAAATGTCAGAGCAATTACGCCGTTATAGAAAAAGCTGCAGGACCTCCTGGCAGGCTGCCAGAGCTTGCCAATTTCTTTTAAACTTGAGAAAACACTTTTCTCATACTGAACAAAACAGGGGAGACCCAGCCAAACATAACCCTGGGCAGAAGGCCCAAGTTCATTTAAGTTCAGCAAATATTTGAGCATCTATTACATGTGCTGGGGAGGATAACATTAGCAAAACAAAGACTACATTTCTTAAATATTATAGAAATAATTAAGGTAAAAATATATCTTAGAGAGAAGGCTTAGCTTTCTGTACTATACAGCGCTGTATAAAAATGCAGGTTTCTGCAGTGTCTGTATCAGTGTCATCCAAATGGTAGACACCAGACACGCAGCTGTGGAGGCCTTGAAAAATGGCTGGAGACATGCTGTAAATGTAAATGTAAAATGCACAAAGATGTACACGAAAACAATAAGGTAAAATACCTCATTATATTTCCAACTTGTATTTTGAAATTTTCAATATATTGGTTTAAATAAAATATACCATTAAAGTTAAAATTAATTTCATTTCTTTCTTTCTTTTTGTTTGCTTGTGTTTCTGTTGTTGTTGTTAATCTTCACCTTCCATTGCTTTTCAGAGAGTGGAAGTGAGGGAAGGAGTGAGGGGAGGGGAGAGAAAGAGAGAGACACATCCATTGGTTGCCTCCTGCACATGCCCCAACTGGAACCAGGAATCGAAGCTGGGACCCTTCGGTGTGAAGGCCAGCACTCTAACCATCGAGCAACACCAGCCAGTGCCCTTTTTATTTTTTAATGTGGTTCCTGGAAAACTGAAAATTATGCATATGGCTTACATTTGTGGCTGCCATTTTCTTTTGATTGTACAGTGCTGTAATAAACTCTTGACTTTTCTGGGGCATCATTGTTAATAATAATAGCATTTTTTACATATTTGGGACTTTACACTGGCATTCAGTGATGGCAAGTTCTGTCAATACTCACTTCTATAGTGTGGTTAAGTGGAAGTACTTGGTGAACTTATATGGAAATATCTGGTGAACTAAACTTAATTAAATTCACTAAATTCACTTCCTGGCTTGACTACATGCTTAATCTTAGTTAAGTTACTCAGCCTCTCTGAGCCTCAGTTGCCTCATCTATAAAATGGGGATAATGCAATCTTACATACACATTGTTTGTCTACATTTATAATGATTTCACAAGTGCCTTGTTGAATCAGGTTTTGAACCTTACATAGAAAAGTGTCTTGAAGAGCTTGGCTTTAATGCTGATTTTTACTTCTCAACAGTGAGGCGTTCAGTCATAAACACAGACGGAAGATCTCTGTTGCCTGTGGGGTAGTGGACCAATTTTCAAACTACCCACAGGCTCTTTCCTGACAATGGCATAACTGAAAGGGGAATCATCTGGGGCAGCGGTCGCCTACCTTTCGGACCTCACCGACCGCCAGTGATCTGTGCACCACCCATTAGGACCACTGACTTAGGGGCAGCCAGGTGAGAGCTGGGCCATCTTGGCATAAAGCCAAAAAGTCTTTTCTCTTCACACCCCAAAGGATAGCAATTCTTCCTCACAATTGTATAGTGTGCTGGTCACACAGAGTGCATTCACCATAGTTGTTGATTAAAAACAGTATCAAAGAAATTACTGCTGAAACCGGTTTGGCTCAGTGGATAGAGCTTCGGCCTGCTGACTGAAAGGTCCTGGGTTCGATTCTGGTCAAGGGTATGTACCTTGGTTGCGGGCACATCCCCAGTAGGGGGTGTGCAAGAGGCAGCTGATCGATGATTCTCTCTCGTCAATGTTTCTCTCTATCCCTCTCTCTTCCTCTCTGTAAAAACTCAATAAAATATATTAAAAAAAAGAAAAAGAAAAGAAATGGCTATATTTGGAATTTACTTAGTTCAGTTAAAAAGCTACCTATTTGATCTGAGTAGGTTAGATTATTTATTAGTAGTGTTGATAATGGATTAGAAATTATTCCTATTCCTGCCATTTTATTTAATGTGCATGAATCCCAGTGCATGGATTCATGCACACTGAAGGGACATTAATTAGAAGGTGGCTGGCAGGTAGGACTGAGAGAGACGGGTTGGACACACCCTGGAGCCGACCTCCCTTGGTCCCTCCCTCGCTAGCTGCACCTAGGGCAGTGTCTCGGCTTGAAGGGCATCTGCAGAGTGAGCAGGGCCCCTTCAGCAGGTGGGGTCCCTCAGCCTGGCCTGCGGGAATGGGGCTGAAAACAGCTCTCTGACATGCCACGAGGGATCCCAGATTGCAAGAGGGCAGTTCTCTGGTGATGCATCCTGGAATCAGGCTCCTTCCTCTCTGATTCTGGGGTGCATCACCTGAGAACTACTGCTGCCAAGTCACCGCAGCTCAGCAGCTCCTGCATTGAGCGTCTGCCCCCTGGTAGTCAGTGTGTGTCATAGCTACTGGTCAGATGGTCGGACAGTTGCTTAGCCTTTTATATATATAGATAATATATCAAGTAGGAGTGACAAGTTATTTCTTTGTTTATCATCCCTTTGGCCACTTACATACAGAATGTACTGTGAATATTTTTTGCTTTATTGAAAACAAATCTAAAAGGCAGAGATTATACAGATAAGAATCCTTAAATTGTTAATTTCATTTTACCAATGAGCTAGTTGTGCTCTTTTTCTAACTTAATGATAGGTTTTAAATTCAAAACTGCTCTCAACTTACAAATTTAGATAAGTATAATTTCTAGTGAAAATATCAATTTTTCAGCTTAGTGCTTATGTAATCATGGAAATATTCTCTATTGCTGAGGCTGGAGGGCACACTCATTCATTCATTTATCAAGTGTTTTTCAAACATCTATCCTGTGCCAGCACCATAACTTTCACATTGTCTGTTTTTTTAAGTATTTCAGATCTTCCAAAAGACCTGTTACTTTAAATCACGGCATCAAGTAAAGAAAACTTCTGATTTTCTAGCTGAGCATTAGATGCTGTAGAACCACAGGGAGATACTCAGGCTCCTGATAACTGACATATTTTAGCAAATGTTTGACAGTGGGGCATTGTGTGTAAATACAGCAGAGTTTGATGGTTAAGCATTCTCATTGAGGAACCAAAAAGACCTGGTGGTGAACCCTGGCTCTACTGCCTACGGGCTGAGTCACCTTAGAAGAGTTAATTCACCTCTCTGAGCCTCACATTGCTCATTTGTCAAAGTGGGAACTAATAATAGTACATACCTGATAATACTATAGTGGAGATTAGGTGAGGTGACATGTGTAAAGTATAGAGATCAGTGCTGGAATTTACTAGTTGCTCAAGAAATGTTAGCTATTAACAGGAGGAGTAACACTGATGATGGTGATTGTAGCAGTAGTTAATTGGGTCAAGGGGGTCCTTGTTTAGCTGAATTATCAAATGTGCACAGAAGGAACAGGGCTTTGGTTTTTTATTTTCATATTCTCGTTAACAATATCAAATACAAAAATGTTTCAAGGTTGGGTTGTTAAAATATTTTTGAAACATACTAATCCATTTTAAAGATTAAAATGAAATATACTTTAACGTTTTTATATGTGCCAAGTTCTTGTAGGATTTGGAGGTCTTATGATTGTGACAGAATGTTATTATAGATGCAAAAAATTTCAGAAAATTTGTACTAAGCCCAGAACAAAATCTAGATATTTGTTTAGCTAAATGTCTCATCTAATCCTGTTTCTTTCCCCTAAAAAGTGTATTGCTAACAAAATTCTACATAATTCAAAGTGCCTGACAACTGGATCTTGTTTTATTGTCTTATTATAATTTATTTTGTTTATTAACTGTGTCAAAAATAAATTTACCAGATCTAAAAGTTGTTAATAAGGCAAATTAAAGAGTTTATAATGAATTTAATATTTTCACGTTACATTTCTAAGAATTTTACTCACAATTGCCACAGGGTCATTGCTGCGGGTGGCAGCCAGGCTGAACTTCTTGACATGGGTGTTGGTCTCCAGAGCCTTTGCAAATTCTTTCAGGGTTGGGATTGGAATGTTCTACGATGGGGAAGGTACAGAGAGTTGACAAACCAAGGATCCATAGCTTTAAGTACCTTATATACAATATTTAGATGACTAATTGCATGCTATCCACTCTAACAGACATTATCACCCATCTTCCAACAACTGAAGCCATCCACAGTCAATAGCAAAACTGTGTCTAATAAGGGAATGTAACAGGAGACACTCTGGCATCACCTTTCTGTTTACTAACCAAAAAATTATGCACCTACCACATTCCCCTCTTCTCTTTCATTCTCTGTGTTCTAACCAGACGGACCTACTTGCTATTCTTTTAATATGCCATGGTCTTTCTCTCCTCTATACTTTTAGATATGCTTTTTCCTTTATCTGGAAATTCCTCTGTCCTTTCTCCGATTAATTCCTACTGGTCTTTTAAGACTCAGCTAGCCGAAACCGGTTTGGCTCAGTGGATAGAGTGTCAGCCTGCGGACTGAAAGGTCCCAGGTTCGATTCTGGTCAAGGGCATGTACCTTGGTTGCGGGCACATCCCCAGTGGCGGGGGGGGGGGGGGGGGGGGGGGGGGGGGGGGGGGGGGGGGGCGGTGGTGGTGGTGGTGGTGGTGGTGGTGGCGGTGGTGGTGCAAGAGGCAGCTTGATCGATGATTCTCTCTCATTGATGTTTATAACTCTCTATTCCTCTCTCTTCCTCTCTGTAAAAAATCAATAAAATATATTAAAAAAAAAGAAAAAGACTCAGCTAAAATATCACCTCCTTTGTTTATTGGCTCTCATGGGCAGGATCAAAGTTTTCCTTACCTGCAATTCCATAACATTTGGGGGCTTACCACATCATGCTCTAATTATTTGTTTCATGTTATTCTCCTAACAAAAAGTTCTTCAGAATAGACAAAATGAATCCTACTCCCTCTTCTACAGCACTTAGCCGGGTACTGACCACGGGGGCGGGAGGCCATATGGAGCGCAGCCAGAGGTTGATGTGTCTTATATGTCCCACAGACAAATTCTGGGACTGTGAGCAACTTAACCTCTTTGAGTCCCACTAAGAATTAAATGGGATAATGAATTTCAAGTTTTCAGCAAAAAATCTGATACGTAACGAGTACTCAATAAAAGTCTGTTATTATTATTAAATGCTAGAAATTGGCCCAATAAGAATGAACAAAGCATGTCAGACAATGCTCTCGCTTTCTCTCTTTCTCTCATATACAACATACATACACACACACACACACACACACACACACACACACACACGTCTCCACTTGAGAGTCACATGACCTATTGCCAAATAGGATAACGTGTAAGTGACAATGTGTGACTTCCTAGAAGAAGTATTAATAATAAAATGCACTGTGGCTTCCTGACTGTCCTCTTTCTCTTGGATCACCCACACTAGGGGAAGCCAGCTGTCAATGAAGTGAGGACACTCAGGCCACCCGAAGGAAAGGGCCATCTGGTAGAAACAGAGGCTTCCTGTAAACAGGCACATGAGTGTACCTTCTCAGAAGTAGGTCCTCCTGCCTCAGGCAGGCCTTTACATGATTGCAGCCCTGGCTGATAGCTGCCTGATAGCCTTTTTGGAACACTGAGCCATACCACCCAGCTAAGTCACTTCCTGTTTCCTGATACTCGAAAACTGTGTGAATAAATGTTTCTTCTTTTAAGCCTGTAAGTTTTGAAGTAATTTGCTACTCAATAATAATCAGTATATTATTTAACACAACTACTATTATTGTTTCCAAGAATTCTAGAAATCACTTATTTTTTAAATCTACTTCTTTTGAATAGGATATCTTGCCTCAAAAATAAGTGACTCAGCAGAAACCGGTTTGGCTCAGTGGTACAGCATCGGTCTGCGGACTGAAAGATCCTGGGTTCGATTCTGGTCAAGGGCATGTACCTTGGTTGCGGGCACATCCCCGGTAGGGGGTGTGCAAGAGGCAGCTGGTCGATATTTCTCTCTCATCGATGTTTCAAGCTCTCTATCTCTCTCCCTTCCTCTCTGTAAAAAATCAATAAAATATATATTTTTTAAAAAAATCAGTGACTCATGCCGAAACCGGTTTGGCTCAGTGGATAGAGCATCGGCTTGGGGACTGAAAGGTCCCGGGTTCGATTCCGGTCAAAGGCATGTACCTTGGTTGCGGGCATGTCTCCAGTGGGGGGTGTGCAAGAGGCAGCTGATCGATGACTCTCATCGATGTTTCTAACTCTCTCTCTCTCCCTTTCTCTCTGTACAAAATCAATAAAATATATTAAAAAAAAAATCAGTGACTCAAAAGATTTCAAATAGGTAATCAGTCATCCCCTTTAAGTTTCCTAAACTCATGATAAATCAAGTGACTGACAACAGTCACGGTGAGATACCTTAATGTTGTTGAGGTTGACTTCTTGGAGGCTGGGATCATTAGCTTTCATCTGCTGCAGACTTACTTCCACATTCGTGGGGTTGGGTGGTTCCTCAAATACAGGCTTGACCTTTTCACCTTTGACCACATCTAAGACACAAATTTAAAAAAAAAGAAAAGTAAGGATTCTCCTGTCAAAATCAGTGATGATTCCCCCCCAAATGACCTTTCTTTCATATGCTCTGATTATTTTTTTTTAATATAGTTTATTGATTTTTTACAGAGAGGAAGAGAGAGGGATAGAGTTAGAAACATCGATGAGAGAGAATCATCGATCAGCTGCCTCTTGCACACCCCCTACTGGGGATGTGCCCGCAACCAAGGTACATGCCCTTGACCGGAATCGAACCTGGGACTTTTCAGTCTGCAGGCCGACGCTCTATCCACTGAGCCAAACTGGTTTTGGCTCATATGCTCTGATTCTAATAATACTTTATTATCAATGACAGTAAGCTTATTCTCAACTAAACAAGCATGGGAATGGTATGGCTCTGAGTTATAGTTTCAAAGATTGATGCTTCTCAACCGCAATAAGAAGTCTCAGTAGCTGACACTGCATGGAGCCAAAAGTGCAGGAGACCCTACAGCAAGCATGACAAACTTGCAACCCAGCCAATACAATAGTATGTAAGAAACCATATAATAAAAGTTTCATGAAGAGACTGAACATAAACTGTGCACCTATGGATGAGGACAATGGGGGGTGGAGAAAGGGCAGAGGGTGGGGTAGGAACCTGGTGGAGGGGGGAAAAAATGAGGAACTTTTGTAATAATATGAACAATAAAGATTGATTTGAAAAAAAAGTTTCATAACTTAATTTTTACAATGACTTGTGATACATAATTATTAATAATGCATTACAACGTTCGCTAATGACTGATTACTATAATCAAGTTGCATTCATTTCCCCGATGCTGGGGAAATGAATTTCTCTCCACTAATACTGGCAGTGAGACGCCGAAACCGGTTTGGCTCAGTGGTAGAGCGTCGGTCTGCGGACTGAAAGGTCCCGGGTTCGATTCCGGTAAAGGGCATGTGCGTTGGTTGCGGGCACATCCCCGGTAGGGGGTGTGCAAGAGGCAACTGGTCGATGTTTCTCTCTCATCGACATTTCTAGCTCTCTATCTCTCTCCCTTCCTCTCTGTAAAAAAAAATCAATAAAATATATTTTAAAAAAAATACTGGCAATGAGTATTTTAGCAGCCAATTGCCACGTCATTAGTCTTGGACTGACTTGTTTGGTGTGCGCAACAGGAAACAGTTCACTTTCAGAGAAAAGTAGCCTTATTTGTGTTAAGTTTGTTTTTGTTTGTTTGATTGTTTTTGTTAGAACAACTCAGCAAAATAAAATTCCCGTTTATTGTGGACAACATTGTTTCACACATACATCTAACAGGCCAAAAAAATAAATAGCAACTTCATAGACAAAAAAAAAAAAAAAAAAAAAAAGGAAAAAAGAAACCTTTTCATCTTTGGCCTTTTTAACCATCTCATATTATAGAAACCAACTACTTATAGTACAGCTAAGTACATACACAAGAAGTTATTGGAATGCTCGGAATAAGATTTTTTGTTGTTGTTGTTTTGCTTTTTTTGACAAGTTTTTTTTTTTTTTCTTTCCTCCTTTGAGAGTATAATGAACACGGTCACACCACAAGTAAAGTCAGAAGAAGGACAAAGAATGCTCCGAAGGCTGGTTTGGTCATCCCAAGATCATTAAAAATGACTGACCCCTAACAATATGTACAAAAATATAAAATGTGAATAAAAATGCAAACAAATTTTCCTTTTTAAAGTACTTTTAAGAAAAAAAGCAGGGCCTTGGAAGTTTTGTTTCTTTTTTTCTCCCCCGTTGCAAATTCACATGGTGGTTTTGGTTGGGTGGTGAAGACCGCGTGTCACCTGCAGGTGGCGCTGCCTGAGGTGGGTGGGTGGGCAGGCGGGCGGGAGTCTCTCATCAAAGGTGACCACATTTAGATTCTGAGACGGGAAGTAGAGGGTGAATAGGCCACGGGGGCCTCCAACCTTTTCTTTTTTTTGCTGTCTAGTCATCCTCATCAGTCTTCTGCTTCTTGGTGCCAACATTGTCATCCTCATCATCGTCATCCTCCTCATCTTCATCTCCATCCTCTTCCTCACCACCACCTTCCTCTTCCTTTTCTTCCCCCTCTCCTCCTCTTCCTCTTCTTCATCCTCCTCACTGTCAGCCTCCTGCTCCCCATTTTCCTCATTCTCAGCATTTCCATCTGCAGGTGCATCTCTTCCTGAACCTTAATGTAAACTACGGGCTTTGGGTAAAAGCATGTGTCGATGCAGGTTCGCCAATTGTAACATATGTACCGCTCTGTGGCAGGATGTTGGTAATGGGGAGGCTATCCGTGAGGAAAGGCAGGGGATATATGAAACATCCCTGTGACTTCCTCTCATCTTTGTTGTGAACCTAAAAATGCTCTAAAAAAATGTGTGTTTTTAACAATATGTATATGTATGTATAAAAGCCAAGAAGGTTAGGCACCAGACTTTTAACAGCCAACATGTTGTCAGAATGTTACCCTTTTTCATGTTGAAATTACCAATGAACATTTTTTATCTGTATGCATAAGAAACCAGAAAGAAAATGAAAGGAACATTGCTTGTTGTCTGTGTAAATTACCCATGATGATTTATATATATGCTGCTGAGACTAGAGAGCATCTCCCAAGTTTTCATCAAAGAGAATAAAACAGAATTCATCTCAGAAAAGCTGTGGTCTTTGGGGAGTTTTTCACAGCACCTGGATCACATTGTCCAAAATTACATTATTGGTCTGTCCCTACTATGGGTAGGTAAGTTCCTTTGGGCCACATGTGTCAAACACAAGGCCCGCGGGCCAAATCTGTCCCGCCAGGCCTTGCAATGTGGCCGGCACTGTGCTGTCATCACTGCACTCCGCTGCGTTTCCATCACAATGACAGTTTATGACTGTTCAGTAAACCATTCGGCCCGCAATTTAGGCTGGATTTTAGATTTTGGCCCCTTCTCTGATTGAGTTCGACACCCCTACTTTGGGCAGTGACCATCTTTTACCTTTGCACCTAAAGACAAAACCCACGACATACAGTAGATATTTGGAAGATGACCAATGAGTAAGGGGGAGAATCTAATGAGCTGACCCTTGGCCAGGAAATGGTCTGGCACTTCGGTGCCAGCAAATCCATCCCAGTGTGTCTTTCATGCTCTCTGGGGGATCTGGGTATTCAAATTCTAATGACAAGTACCCATTGTTGAGACCAAAAAGACACTGAAATAGAGAAAATAACTTATTTAAGATGCTTGATGAAAACCTCCTTGGGAACAGGAAACTCTGCATTCCAAGCTAACTATGCAACCTATCAGCAATTTTACCTTTTGACTGAAGGGACCTAACTACAGAGTGTGTTTTGGATAAAACAACTGGCTGTTACTAGTTGCACTGCCAGACAGAGTTCCCAGGACCAGCTGCTCTATGCTGGTCTGGTTGCCCCGAGCCCAGGGATCATTGGTGAATGGACAGAAGCCACCCGCAAAGACGGCAGCACAGGAGTCAGGACGCACCAGGAGGCCCAGTCAGCAGGCCTCTCCTCCCAAGCTTCACAGAACCACAGATTCCGCGTCAACTTACTTCGCACAGGCCCTTTGCCATCTTTACTGTTGGGTGTTTCTTCATCAAACTTCGGGTTATTGAGCATATTGTGTACTCCAAGAACAGCTGGAAGAAGAAAAAATCAGTGAAAAACCATGTTAGGATATCCACATTATTAATTTTTTCCTTGAAGAACGATTCTTTTTATCATAAAGATGAGCTTCAGACTCATATTTCCTTGCACAGTGTGTGATACAAATATAGTGTTAAATAAACTGATACAGTAACACACACACACACACACACACACACACACACACTCCCTGTAAGACCACCAGCAATCTACACAGGTCTTTCTAGATCTGGACCTGTGACACCATTTGGGATCCGAGGGACAATGGTCTTGTGATGGTTCCAAATTACTGAAAACCTGCTAAGACCTCCTACTAAAGTAGATTCAACTCATCAGCTTTCCCATCCGTAAAACGTGAGGGCCGGACTGAATCTAAGGATATTTTAAGATTTGATGTTATAGAGATGATGGCATGTATTTTTTCAGAGGCAAAGAGCAGAAAGATCATGGGTCTCTTTCAATGTAAGCTTCACCACGAGAAGTTGCCCTTTCCTTATCTAAAGCATCTCACAGTTTGATTCCGGTCAAGGGCATGTGCCTTGGTTGCAGGCACATCTCCAGTTGAGGGTGTGCAGGAGGCAGCTGATTGATGTTTCTCTGTCTCATCGATGTTTCTAATTCTCTATCCCTCTCCCTTCCTCTCTGTAAAAAAAAAAAAAAAAAATCAATAAAATATATTAAAAAAAATAAAATAAGAGACACTGGCAAGGGAAGGCTGAGCATGCTGACATTTGAGGCTCCTGCACTACATGGAATTGGCACCAGGGGGCAGCACAGCATGCGAGGAACAGCACTGGGGGAGAATGCACACCAGGCAGGCTGTGGCTGCAACTGCGCACCCAGCTCTAACCTCGCTAATAAAATTACAGGCGGCCAGAGGCCACCTGGTGAAGGACCCCAGAATGGATAATCATCTGGTAACAGGGGGCAGAGCTCCCGTTAACCTCTGAGCTCATCAGCTGTACTGCAATCTGCACATTAGAAGGAGGCAGGAGGCCAGCACACCATAAGGAACAGCAAGTCTAGGGTTAAAAGGACACCCAGGAGCAGTCAATATGAATACTGTCATGTACTACCTGTGTGACTTGAGAAGTTACTAAATGCCTCCGGACCTCAGTTTTCCCATCTGTAAAATAGGGAAAATAATCATGCTTTACCTACTACAAAAATAAAATGACTGTCCTGGCCAGTGTGTTCAGGGGTTAGAGTGTCAGCCTGAGCACCAGAGAGTCACAGGTTTGATTCCTGGTCAAGGGCACGTACCTGGGTTGCAGGTTTGATCCCCATCCCAGTAGGGGTGTGTGTGGGAGGCAACAAATTGATGTATCTCTCTCACATGGATGTTTCTCTCTCCCTCCCCTTTTTCTCTCCCCCACTCCTCCCTCCCATCTACTCTCTCTAAAAATCTATAGAAAAATATCCTCACTCCTCAGGTGAGGATAAAAAAAAAAAGATGAAATGATTCCCTATGCATCAGGCACTGTTCTAAGTGCTTTATAAATTCTTATTAGTAAATACACATTTATTACTGTTTCTGGCATTGTCTAGGGAGAGGCCCTATTTGATAAGCACAAGCTACTGAGACCATCCAAAAAGACGCATCTTGCTTTGGTCCCATACTCACTGATAACTTCTAATTATAATTTGGCTCCATTGCCAAGTGTTAATTTTTGTGTTACCTGTTTCCGGTACACCTGGCAGGTGGATGGATCCGTCCCCACTGCCTAGCCCCAATCAGACTGCTGCTATGTGCACTGACAAGATCAAATCTCCAGGCCAGCAGACTGAGAACTAGAATGGCTTGACTGGGGACCACACAGAAATAGGGCCACGGTGGGGGTGCTCGCTGGAGGAATGATGTGCCCTTCTGCTCTGGGTCTGCTGGAGTACCATGGGCGGGGCACTGACACCCTTTCAAAGGCTGGCAGCTCTACCTCTTCCGGAGAGAGCAGCCCTAGAGAAGATGCGGGCTTCTTCCTGGTGCTGAGAGAGGGAGGCTACTTAAAACGAACACCAAGGTTTTCTTTGGGGATTATCCCCCTGGTTTCACTGCATGAATTTAAGGATCTTCCAAATGATGGGTGTTTTATCTCTTTCCTTCTCCTAAAACATTTCCTGGGAATTTAAGCCCAGCCCTGCATTCTCCCTTTGGGCAATTCCAGGACAGACTGAGAGGCAACAGTCACCATAACAAGATCTCTCCACAGCAACCATGGGGCTAAGGAGACTGGTCACTGCTAAGCACCTTCCTAATTGTGTGGCACAGGTGCCTCCTTGGGGCAGTGACTTCTGAGAGGGTTTCAAATATGTGAATTTAATACTGACCACTAATATCACAGAAGGAATGAAAATGTAGCTACAACGATTTGCATGCTATTAGAATAAGGCATAGCTGGTTCTCCTGGGAGGATGGAGATTATAATTATACTAGAGGCCTGGTGCACAAATTTGTGAATGGGTGGGATCCCTTGGCCTGGTCAGTGAACAGGGCTGATAGGGGCAGTCTTGCCCAGTCCCAATCGGAGCTGATCGGGGCCAGCCAGCTGCGGAGATGGAGTGCAGGAGGTTGGCTGGCCAGGGGAGGTTGGCTGTAGGAGTATACTGACCACCGGGAAGCAGCTCCTGCATTGAGTCTTTGCCCCTTGGTGGTCAGTGTATGTCATAGCGACTGGTCGACTGGTCATTTGGTCGCTTAGGCTTTCTATATATAAATGCCTTCCAATGGAATAAAAATGTAAAATTTTTTGCTAAAGCTATGGACTATTTTTTAAAATACGTCTTTCCTGGAATGACCTAATAACCCTCATGATCCATATATCCATCTTGTTTGGAAAAAAAGTGCATCCCATTGGTACACAAATATGCTGTTATATGCATGGACTCTTTCTAGAAGAATAGATAAGAAATGGGAGGGGGCTTATGGAATCAGGGTGAGAGACTTACTTTCATTATATATTCTTTTGTTACTCCTCACCTGAGGATATTTTTTCATCTTTTTTTAAATTTTATTTTATTTATTTATTATTTTTTTTAGGGAGATTGGAAGACAGAGGGAAAGACAGAGAAAAACATCAGTGTGAAAAAACACACTGATTGGTTGCTTTCTGTATGAGCACTGACCAGGGCACAGGCAGGAAGGAACCTGCAATCATGGTACGTGCCCTTGACCAGAATCAAACCTGGGACCTTGTGGGCTCTCTCTGCTGAGCCAAACTGGCTAGGGCCATTATATATTCTTTTGTACTTTTTTGGGCTTTTTCTATCTGCAAGAATAACCAATTCAAACAATAATGCCAATAATTATTGTACTGTTGCTACTGTTAAGAAAACTAGGGGAAAAGTCAGCGGATTGGGGTGAATGTGGATTTACTGCCCTGAGTGAATGTAACAGTAATTGCCCCCATTCCATAGTTGGGTTCAACAGACCTCTTAGTGGGGATCCAAATGGAACAGCAACTGGGGAAGAGCAAGAATGTCATGGAAATTTTGTGGTGATAAAGTCCCCAATGTGAAAGCGCTTTAGAAAGCGCAAGGGCTGTTATTTTATTGTGTAAGTTCTCAGCACTCCTTCAACTCTATTCTCTGATTTCTCATAGAAACTCTGAGTTTGGTAGGATGGGTTTTATTGGGGCATTTTACAGCTGAACTTCAGCAGAATGTTTGCTCAGAGAGGTTAAGTCACCTGTACCACGTCTTAGAGCTACATAAAGATTGAGGCCAACCAGTTATCACAATAAAAACTCAAAGGCTACTGTCATGGATGCAGACCTGGAAATCACAGAATGAAGTGACCCAAAGCTGAGGACTAACCTGTAGGAAAGTGACCCAGAGCTGAGGACTAACCTGCAAGATCGTAGAGTTCAGTGTCGGAAGCACTGGCCAAAGCTTCTTCCAGTTCTGGATCAAGAGTCACTTTTTCTTCTTTACGCGTTTCTACGGGCTTTTCTTTGGGGATAAAGACTCTCCCTTTAAATCAGAAGAAAAACAAAAACCATGGTGTGGGCTGCTTATAACAGGAGAAGCGGGCCCATCAGAGACTGCAGCTCTGGCCGTTAAGAGCCAAGTCAGTAAGCTGTTGCACATCCAACTGGGAAGCCTGAATTGCTGGGATGATGCCATTATCAATAACCCACAGTTAGAAGGAAGGAAGGCCAGAGGAGGAATCCTGCATTCTACAACACTGACATCCAAGGAGACTGCAGTCCTTAACCACAGAGAGGAATGGCTTCTACCACCCTCCTTCCCATCGATCAGCAGCACTGCCCTTAGACCTGGGCAAGGGGGGCGGGGACCCTTCTGTGGACTCCAACTTTAAAGAGCTCAGCTCTGGTCTCCTCTGGCTGCAAACCTCCCTACCCTCGAGCCACGCGCGCGCGCGCACAAACACACACACACACACACACACACACACACACACACACACACTGCTTCTACCCCACCAAGGGAAGAATGATGGGACAAAGAGGCTGCCTGCCAGACCACACCCAGGCACCTCAGACCCTGGGATTCTTTGCCTAAGAGCCCAGAGCCTGCTTCCATGCCCACCCTCCTGAATGCAGATCACACTGCTGGGATGCACACCCCCGGGCCAAGCGGAGGCTGTGGTGGGTGAGTATGAATGAGGTGTCAACCGTATGCATTTGAGGTTCTGGCAGAGGACAGACATCCCTGTGTAGAAGTCTTGGAAGTCCAAGAGTCCTGGCCTATGTATATTTGTAGGATATAACATATTTTAACAGTTTGCTAACTTTTAAATATTTTTGTGTTTTTTTTTGTGTGTGTTTTTTTTTTAAAGGGACTTGGACTTCTGTTTGTCTTCTTGTCTTGGATCCTGAAAATATTTGGACTAGATTCATCCAAATGGCCCCGGGATTCCGAAGGGACAAACGTGATCATCCAGAATTTTCCTCTCACCAACTGAGATGGCAGACCAGTAGGATGTTCTATCTAGGATCACGTGGCTAGGTAGTAGTGACCTGGGACGCAACCACCTCTCTACAGCATACCAAAGTCAGCCTGATTTAAAAGAAAATAACCAGAGCTGGCATACTCAGAGCCGTGGGGGTCTGGGCAGCGGGGCTCCCTGTGCTTCCCACGTGCACATTCTCTGCCACCATCTCCCACCTTACCCTGTCCATCGAATTACATTCATTTTGCCCTTACTCACTCCTGAATATGCCAATATCTGCAACACCCCAACCGGATGATCTCGGGTCCAGAGTCAATATCAGATTTCTACGTAACCCTGGTACTGTTCAGGGCACCTCCCAACACTATCTGCACAGGTGGCCACAGCTATTGGCATTCAGGACAACTGCTGCCACACAGCCATTCCCTGGGCTCCGACCAAGTAATTTCTCAGTGAGAAAAGCTACACCAGAGAGTTAAATGTAGCTGAGGCACACGGCCTTCAGAACTGAGGTGTGCCACCCCTCTCCTGAGGCCCTCACCAAAGCCCCCCACGGCTTCTAGAGCACTCACTGGTCCCTCCCGGGGCCCTGCAGACTCTCCCAACCTCACCCTCATCCCTCTGCTCTGTGTGGAAAACTTCTTTTTTGCTCAACTGTGTTGCTTCTCAACCTTCTCCTAAGCTACCTGTGCAGCTGTATGCTCCTCTTGTATCCCCATTTATAACTCAGACTGCTTCTGCAGCCGTAGGTTCCCCATGAACCACCTGTAAGTTGACCTGGATCGAGAGGGCAATTTACCTCCTCAAACACAACAGCTTTCTTGTTATCCAGTCACTACCCTAATACTGGATGTTAAGAGGAATTTTATTGAAAATTGGGCATTAAATAATTTAATTTTTATTTCACAATTAAATTAGTTCAATAGCAACTATGTTGTCATAGAAAGAGTTCCATATTTCTACAATAATCCTTGATTATTTGCCTGGTTTGTTACTGTTCAACTTTAATTTCTTAATAAAAACGCATCATCCTGCCGAGACCGGTTTGGCTCAATGGATAGAGCGTCGGCTTGGGGACTGAGGGGACCCGGGTTCAATTCCGGTCAAGGGCATGTACCTTGGTTGCAGGCATATCCCCAGTGGGGGGTGTGCAAGAGGCAGCTGATCGATGACTCTCTCTCATCGATGTTTCTGGCTCTCTATCTCTCTCCCTTCCTCTCTGTATAAAATTAATAAAACATATTTAAATAAATAAATAAATAAAAACGCATCATCCATGGTGCATGACCCGTCAAACACGCCTGGCTCAGAGGAGAGCCGGGTGCTGTGTAAGCGGAGGTGGCGCTGCTGTGACTCATGCCAGCAGGGGAGCTGTGTTCCCACCCCCACAGAAGCTCAGAGATGGTGTTCATTCGAGCCCATGTTTATCGAGTGCCTCCCCGTGTCAGCTTCTGTGCCAGGATGCAAGAGACACAGCCCCACTGTGGAGATCTCAATCTCATGTGGAAAACATGGGAAACCCAAAACAAATTAACAAAGGATAAACACTGTCACAAGGCTGTGAAAGTAACGAGTGTCAGGGCAGAAAGAAAGCGTCTATTTTAGACAGAAGAGAAGCGGGAAGCCTGGGCATTTAAGCTGAGATTTAGAAAGCAAAAAAGATGGAGATGTGGGTCAGAGGGAAGAGCCCACGAGAAGACCCCGAGATGGGGGAAAAACTCAGCAGGTTCGGGGAACCGAATGAGGATATTGGGGCTGAGGCTTAGCGAGGGAAGACTGTCAGAGAGGTGGGCAGGGAGTAGTCTCCCGGGACTATGAGAAGCACAGTAAGGATTTGGGGTTTTAAGCAGGGGAGCAGCATGATCTGATTGGTGTTTTCAAAAGACTGTGGTAGCCCCAGCTGGTGTGGCTCAGTTGGCTGGGCATTGTCCTGTGCACTGAAGGACTGCTGGTTCGATTCCCAATTAAGGCACATGCTGGGGTTATGAGCTTGAACCCCGGTGGGGGCTGTGGTTGAGATGTTTTTCTCTCTCCAAAAACCAATTTAAAAAAATATATTTATACATATATTTTAGACTGTGGTCGCCATGAGATTACAATGATTTTATTAGTACCCATGGGCCCAAGTTGCCGTCTATAGCTGAAGAACCTGGACAAGTGAGTGACAGCCACCTTTTCCTCCAAATGGCTCAGGATCGAGAGCTACGGAGGAAGGTTTTCCTGTCTTGAGTCTGTCATGCCTATCCCACAGTCTTCCCAGGTCTGTCACAGTGTTTCTCTCACTAGACCACCAGCTCCTTGAGGGCAGGGCAGGGTCTTACTCACTGTGGTCCCAGCACTGGGCACTCGGCTCTGCACAGCGGAGGTCAATGCTGAATGAATTGACTACCAATTCTGCACTACCTCTCATGGTAACACCTAGGAACACAGCCAATGCCTACACATGGAGTAGACTTCTGCAGCGGGTAAAGCCCTGGCCTACGAGCATTCACACTTATGGGACCTTCTCTTGGGCACAACACTACTTCATACTCCCAAAAATTTATTTGGGAGTTAAGAATTTAAAAAAATATATATATATTTTATTGATTTTTTACAGAGAGGAAGAGAGAGGGATAGAGAGTTAGAAACATCAATGAGAGAGAATCATCCATCAGCTGCCTCTTGCACACCCCCCACTGGGGATGTGCCCGCAACCAAGGTACATGCCCTTGACTGGAATCAAACCTGGTACCTTTCAGTCCACAGGCCGACGCTCTATCCACTGAGCCAAACTGGTTTCAACAAGAATTCTTTTTTTTACAGAATTAATTGGAGTACCACCGCACTCTAGGTATTCATTTAACTAGCCTCCATGCTTCTTTGTTGCTTAGTTAATAAACTCTATTTTGGGGAGCAGTTTTTAGGCTCACAGAGGAAAGCACTGAGAGTCCCCATATACCCCTTCGCCCCACACTGACAGTCTCCCTTCTATTAGATATCCCATCGCAGAGCGGTCCATCTGTTACAACCAATGAGCCTACATGGATATCACTATCACCCACAGCTTAGCGTTTACATTGGTGCTCCCGCTTGGAGGTGTACATTCTATGGGTCTGGACAAATGTCTACACGAACATGTATCCATCAGCCACGATTCTTTTAAACACTGAATCCAATTGTGGGCTTACGTCCCATTCCCAGGTCAGTTCCCTGGCTTGGCCTTCCAGGACATAACGTTCGGAGCCCCTCTGTCCCAAGAGGCGCCCCCTGTGGTGCTTACCTTTCTTTTCTCCGGTGAAAGGCACAAAGTCTTCCCTGTCTTTCTGTTCCAGAGCCTCCTTCTCCAGGTACATGAGCAGGTGCTCGCGGTCAAAGGGGCCGGTGGCTGCTTTCTGGGTCTGGTCTTTCTGTCGGAATCCGGCTGGCAGCAGGGCACTCTGGTGAGACAGAGGTGTGAGCAGGAAGGAAGGTGCCAGCTGATACTGTTACCTCCCTCCTCGGCTGCACACGGGGAGGGGTGAGCTAAGGGTGGAGTTCTTTGGCACATCTGAGGCCCTACCTGCTCTAACATCCTGTGCTGAGGAGAGGAGGGCTGCAAATGCAGGCAGCACACATGTGCTGGAGCAGCTTCTGGGACTCCTGCAGCTGCCTTCCAGAACGTGACAGCGCATGGCCACCCCCCTCCACAGCCTCTTAGATCCCACTTAGCTTTGGCCACGTCTGCACCCGAGGTGCTCCCAGGCAGTCATATGGAGATTCTACAGAGGAGCCCATATGGCTATTCTCTCTTATTTCCAACCCTTCTCCTGGGGAAACAGCCAAGCTTGATTAAGCTTAGAGATTCCTTCCTAAAGTTTAAACAATACAATCAGAATACTTATATTTTTAAAAGTAAACACAGCGTCCAAAGCACCTGCCACATCGGATTATCATACAGATAATTTTTGTGACATTTTTATTTCTAGTAAAACCATTATGTTGGATGCCACTGATTCTAAGTTTAAGCTAACACCAGCAGGTCTGAAGGAAACACTATAACAAGTTGCTTAGCTTTTCAAGAGCCCATGAAAATATTAGTGTACTTGATAATATCAAAAGCATTTGCTCCACTTAAGTGTATCTGATATTATGGTCAGTTATTCTAATCTACCTATTGTTGTAGGATCACCAAAGATTTCAAGTTATTTAGACATTAAAGAAAAGATTTTTAATTGATTTTTAGAGAGAGAGAAAAGGAGAGGGAGAGAAAGAGAAACAGCAATGTGAGAGTGAAACATTGATCGACTGCCTCCTGCACACCTCCTACTGGGGATTGAGCCTGCAACCCGGGCATGTGCCCTGACTGAAATCAAACTGGCAACCTTTCGGTGCACAGGATGATGCCCAACCAACTGAACTACACCGGCCATTTTAAAGAAACTAGACACAGAAAAGATCTGTCTTTGGGGGTAAAGACCTGGTTTAAATATCATCTCTGACATTTACTAGTATGGGATCTTAGACAAATTACTTCTCCTACTTTATCCCCTCATTTATGAAATTGGGATAATACATTTACCTAAGGGGCTTTTATGTCCAGCAGAGTGTGTGATTCACAGAGGAAACTTGGTAAGATTTGTTCCTTTTCTCCCTTTCCCTTTTTTCCCCCCACCCAAACCAGACTACTCTTTTATCAATCCATGGAAACTACTTTTCCCCATATACATTAAACTTGTTTTTGAGAAATACATTTGCCATATCGTATTATAGATTGTGGTTACTGAGATTCTCCATAAATTTCGTAGAAAGTGACTCAGGACCAATCAGGGAAGAACACAGAATCTGCATTTGGAGCTAAGAGATTTCTACACCATTGTTTAAGGACATGCCACGCCATTTCCCGGGGACTATCACTAACCACACTGCTTCAGTTCCAGGTCACTAACCTGAGGATCTAGGTCATCCAGAACATTTTCCAAGTGTTTCAATTCCTCTTCTGAGAGTTTTCCAAGAAGCTCATCTTCATCAATGTTCTTATATTTCTCCAACTCTTTTTGGAAAGGGAGCGCCATGGTTTCTCAGATGCCCTTCTCATGGGCCGCGGACATTTAAATGGGCCAGCTTCCTGAGACCTCAGAATGCCACTAATAAGAAAGAAACACTGTTACCTCCTTTCTGCAAACAGGATTTATTAACAGGAGACAGGGCCATGCTATCTGCCCAGTGGAGTCTCTCTATTGAACAAATAATTCAACAAAAAAGGTAACATTACCTCACTTGTGGAGCAACCTGACCACTTACAAAGTGTTTTCATATATATTATTTTACTTACTTAGATCTTTACAGCAACCTGGAAAGAAAGCCTCGACAGACATTTATAACCTATTTTACAGATAGAGAGTCTGAGATGGAAAGTGGCTAAGTGCTCTGCCTGAGGCTCCAGAACTGCGATGTGCCAGGCCTTCGGGTTCCCAGGGTAGTGAGTGCCTTCCCGCTACACTACTCTGCCTCCTCCAGCTTTCCACAGAGCACAGTGAAGAACAATGCACCAATTGTACGGCAGTTGTGAGCAGCACACTCGTGTCTTTTCAGAGAAAGAGTGATGGGAAGAATACAAAATGGGGTTCATTCAGAAAGAGAGCTTGGAACATCCATGTGAGAGAGCATTGTCCAGCAGCCCCCCTGCCATTAGACTAAGGAGATTCTGAAATCCTGGCTGCATGCTCACCCTCTCCATTCTTCTCCTCACTGTTCTTCTTTCCTCCTCTCCCATTCTCTTTTAGTCCTACTTCCTTTTTGTTCCCTGGGCCATCCTGCTCAATCCTTTACATTCCTATTCCATTCCCCTTTCAATCCCCCTTTTTTTATACCATCTCACCCCTAAACTTCCACTCACAGTGCAATTTTTACTCAACCCCTTCTTCTTTGCAGAGGATTTTATAGGTATTCCCTAGAAAGATAATACTGCATTCAGGAAATAACAATGTACTCAACTGATTGTGTTTCTCCTCAGGAGGTATTACTATCTGTCAAATCTTTCAAGGCAATTAATATTTGCCGTATGCCCACTAATTACCAGGCAGAGTTCTGGAAAACAGGAATACAAAGGCAAACAAGATATGACCCTTCCTCAAGAAGATCACAGCTCAGCAAGACACACAAATAGGAGAAGTGTTATAACAAAACTAATGTATAAAGTGGGTTTAAACATATAAAAAGATAATTACTGGATAAGGGGATCTCAGGTTTGAGGGGACACTGTGAAAAGGAGTTTGAGTTTGAAACTTGAAGAAAGAGGTCATAGAGGTCATAGGGTAGACATGAGTAGAGAAGGGTCATTCTTAGGAAAAAGGAACAGTGTATGCAAAGGCACAAAGATAAGAAAGTACATGGTAAGTTGGGGAATGCTTGTGTGTCTAGAGGGGAGAGTTGCCCTAGCCGGTTTGGCTCAGTGGATAGAGCATTGGCTTGTGGACTGAAGGGTCCCAGGTTCGATTCCAGCCAAGGGCACATACCTGGGTTGCAGACTCGATCCCCAGTAGGGGGCGTGCAGGAGGCGGCCTATCAATAATTCTCTCTCATCATTGATGTTTCTATCTCTCTCTCCTTCTCCCGTCCTCTCTAAAATCAATAAAAAAAAAAAATATATATATATATATATATATTTTTAAAAAATAGAGGGGAGAGTTGCTGGGAAGGAAGAGGAAAGACAAGGAAGACATCTGTGAAGGGCCTTCCCTATATGCCTTGCCTAGGAACCCAGGCTTTATTCTGTTGGGAGATAAGGAGCTGCTCCAAATTTTTAAAGTAGAGGAATGATCTGAGAAGCCCTGTTTTTAATAAGATAATTCAAACAGTAAGAATGAAAAATGGTTTGGCATGGAAAGAATGCTGTTTCCCTCTCCTTATTAATTCAACTATTTACCATATTTAAGTTTATGGTTTTCTACTTGTATCATTTCCATATATAATGTAACTCTCTTTCCCTTTCATAAGCCTACTTTCTTTTAGTTTCAATGGCTAGAGTCCAGGAAAAACAAAACAAAATTCATCCCACTAAGTCAGAGAAACCAACTATACCAAATACACTTTGTTCTGGTCCAGCTACCACCAATTTACTGAGTGACTATGGACAAGGATCTCAATCAGCCAGGCTCTTAGCCATCAAACATATTGGTTAAACCACCTTACCTACGGGTTCTAAGATGAACAGTTTCCCACAATTTAACATTCTGAAATTGACATTTATCTGACAATTGATGGCTCTCAACCACTGACACAGCAGCAGTCAAGAAAGACTTGTCACAGTCTTCATATGCATAAATATCAAAAGCACCAGCTTCAAAACTAGCAGAATAAGTGTCAAGGATTTGGGGAAAAATTCCAGGGACTCTTTAAAACCAAGGAAGTGGGAGACATGGCGACTCTAGTGTATTTAGCAACACTCCCAAAGGAAGGTCTAGATTAGGTCAGTTCCATATAATTACAGATTGGTTTAAGACCCAACACCAATGATTTTTTATAAAATTACCATTTTTGATGGCAAGGACGAGGTACTGGATGGAAACAAAACTGACATTGATGACTATGAGTCAAAAAATGATTCAAAGAGTTGGAAAAAGGAGCAGTGTAAACAAAGGCACCATATTAAGAATATTAGCCAATTCATTTCACTTGAATTTTCCCTTTTTTATGTTGCACAAGGATGGAATGCTATTTTTAAAATCTGTGTATGTTCAGAGCAGCTTTATTTGTAACAGACAAAAAATGCAAACAACCTGAATGGTCATTAGTAGGTGGATGGATTAACAAAGTGTGGTATGTCCACATAATGGAATCTACTCAGAAATAAAAACAAATGAATTATTGATATACATGATGATATGGATGAACCTCAAAATAATTATACTGAATGAAAAAAGCCAGACCCAAAGGGATGTATATGATATAATTACATTTATCTAAAATTCTAGAATATGTAGTCTGAGTTATATGACCGAAAACAAATCAGTAGTTGCTTACAGATTGAAGGGAGGTAGGGGGAGAGACAGGGGGAGGAATTACAAAGGGGCAAGTATCACAGGATCTTACTCATTTGTGGAATATAACATAATCTGATGAACAAAAATAAATCCAGAGACCCAGAAGCATCGAACAGACCATCAAACCTCAGAGGGAAGGCAGGGGACGTTGGGTGGAGGTGGAGTTTGGGGGTTTAAGAGATAAGCCAAAGAACTTGCATGCATATACTAGTAAGCATAACCAGTGGACAAGATAATCGAGAGGTGAAGGCCTGGGCTGGAAGGAGGGGTGGGCTAGCGGGAATAAAGGGAATACATGTAATACTTTCAACAATAAGATTTAAAAAAAAGTACAAATTAGTAGGTGCAAAATAGTCATGGGAATGTAAAGTACAGCATAGGAAATATAGCCAGCAATATTATAATAACTATGTATGGTGTTAAAAGGTCCTAGAGTTATCGAGATGAACACTTTGTAAATTATATAAATGTCCAATCACTGGGTAGTGCACCTGAAACTATACTGAACCTCAACTCTAACTAAAAACAAAAAGTATATTATTAAAAAAAAAAAAAAAAGGCAATTTTGGGGTTATGAACTACCTTGATTGTGCTGATAGTGTCATAGATGCATGAGATTTCAAAACATATCAAACTGTATACACTTTAAATATGTGCAATTTATTGTACGTCAATTAAGTCTTCAAAAATCTCTGTGTAAGGCTAAAATAGCTCTTTCAATAAAGTAAAAATAACACATTTAAGAAGGCCTGCACCATATTTTAATCTTTCCTCAGTGGCACATAAAATATTCATGTGTTTACGATAGGCAGCATCTTATCATTGGTAAGATTCTATTTGTATTGCTATTCCAGGCCTCTACGACTATATCCCAATTCATCGTTTTCCCTGGAAACAGATTTGCTCTCCTGATTTTCTAGGTCGTGCCAATAATCTGCCAGCCAGTTACTTCCAAAGCTCAGATTCCTCCCCTTCCTTCCATGCCCCGTTGGCTAGCCCTCTCACAGAATCTCACTGCACTGCACTGTTCACACCATCCCTTCCTGTCATTCTTGTTTCAGACTTTTGTTCCGCTGGGCCTGGACTATTCTAATTGCATCCTGAAAGGTTTCTGCTCTTTCCCCTAGGCCACCCAGAGCACCACGGTCAGATCATCTTTCTTAACACTGTCAACAAGCCACCACCCTGGTGAAGGACTTCCAATGGCTCCCTCTTCTCCAAAGAAAAACATTCAGACAGGTTAGCATGTATGATCCCATAAATCGGCTTTGTTCTGCCCATCCTGTTTTCATTACTTTCCTAGTGAGCCCTCCAATCCAGTCAAAATGGTTTACTCGCTCTCTGTTGTAGGCAGAATAATGCCGCCCTAAAGATGTCCCTATGCTAATCCCCAGAACCTGGGAATGTTACTTACATAGCAAAGAGACTGGTGTGATGAAATACAAATTTTTAAAAAATATATTTTACTGATTTTTTTTTTTTTTTTTTTTTTTTTTTTTTTTTTTTTATAGAGAGAGGAAGGGTGAGGGATAGAGAGTTAGAAACATCGATGAGAGAGAAATATCAATCAGCTGCCTCCTGCACACCCCCTACTGGGGATATGCCTGCAACCAAGGTACATGCCCTTGACCAGAATTGAACCTGGGACCTTTCAGTCCTAAGGCCGACACTCTATCCACTGAGCCAAACCAGTTAGGGCAAATACAAATTTTTTTTTTTTTTTAATGGAGAGGTTATCCTGCAATATTTGGGTGGGCTCAACTAATCACAAGGGCTCTTAAAAGAAGAAAAAAGAAAACAGGAATCAGAGAACATGCTGTGACCACAGAAGCAGATGCAATTGTTTTGAAGGTGGAGGAAGGGGCAGAGGGGTGGGGGGAGAGGGGGTCTAGAGAAACTGGAAAAGACAAGTAAGTGAATTCTCCCCAAGAGCCTTCAGAAAGAAGCAAATGCATACTCTTATCCGTACACTTCCATGTTCCCACGTACTTGTTCCGGATGTCTTGTTTGCCCTCCACTTCCACCCCCCACCCTGCTCTGTGCCCCAGGAAGATGATGTATCGATATTTACACAGCATCAGTGGCTTCCTTGCTCTCTGGCT